GCTACAACACCTCTATAGTTGCAATAGATGTTCTAAGTGTATGATCCACAAAGGGAATGATTTTGACTTTCCACTTGCATATATAAGGAAGAAGGCTCAGCGCCTGTGCCACAAGTTCGACATCCGGTATCGCAGCAATGAGAAACCAGGCCTTCACCTTCCGTTCACCCACCCCTCCTTAGAGAGGGTGCGGACATATGTGAGCTTGGCTGTAAAGGAGAAAGTGATTCATCCTCGTCTGATAGCCAACTATGATCAAGTCTGGAGCACCAACTATAGACCAGCAAAGCGCGTGCTGCAGAAGCCTGGTGGTGCTAGAGGCCTTTTGCGAGATCCTTTGAGCAAATCCTTGGCAATGCGCCGCATCAGGCACAACATCGAAAGATGCCTGAACATGGACCTGACTGAAGAGGATCCTGCTTCTACTTCTGTGGAGGAACCTTCGAGCAATGGCTTGCACCAAATCACTGGTGGTAGCGCTGGTGTTGCTCCAGTGGATGAGTGGAGGCTTCCTCGCACGGTGACAACAATATCATTCGTGGACGGACATGTCTCTAGGGCGTATGTCACGCTGCGGTCTGGAACCATGCCAGAAAGCACTCGGAAGCGCATCAACCAGCAGTTGGACAAATATCTGTTCATCGAGCAGCAGCAGGTTACCAGTCATATTTGGAACGAGGCCACCCAAATCAAGTTCCTAGACTTCCTTGCCAAGGAGGTCAGAACACGGAGGAAGATGCTGGGATTGGATGCAACGGCAAGGGCCCTGGTACTTCTAGACCAGGCTGGCGCGCATATGTCCAGAAAGTATGAGCGCATCCAGGAACAGTGGAGCCGCCAACACAACATTGCAACTTGCATTATATCAGTTTATATATATATATATATACAGAAATGCTTTTCTTGCACTCTTCCACTTAGGCCCTGCATGGTTTCCTGGAGTTTTTAATGTTTAATGTTCCTTTACTATATATATATGGATATGTGTGTTTTTTTGGGGGGTGTTGTTTGGTGCACATGGTTTGCATTGAGGAACTGATGGGTGGCCGTAGCGCAGTGCCAGTGCCCGGTGGATTTGGGGCCAGTGGTGGCCCGAATGATGGGTGGCACCAGTGGCTACATGCTCTGACAAAGTCCTATTTGAGGCTGGCTGTTGGATGGAGCTCCTTTCCTCAGCTTCGAACAAGACTGGATGAGCTTCAGATGGGCCTTCAAAGTCAGCCAAGTACCAAGCAACTTGGCGGCGTAGGTTTAATCGCTGAGCTGTTGGCCTTGTCTTGGTTGGATTGTCTTTTGAAAAGCAGGCTCACCATTATGTTCTAAGTGTGAGAGACCCCAGAATGACCCCAAGAAATACATAGAGAGAGAGACACACGGCTGGTATCCAAGGTGCCCGTTGGAAACGTCATTGAATGCAGATGCCTGGGCCATATCCATGCTTCAGGAGAAGCGGCGCCTCTTCAGAAAGTATCCACAGCTTTTTATATGAATTTATACTATATATATATATGTATATAAGACACTTAGCAGTACAGGATGTTCTAAGTGTATGTACTCCCAACAGATTATATGTTACTGCCTATAATTATATATATATTATTGCTACTAAAAGCACCAACTGGTGGATTCCAATCAGGAACTTGTTCTTGACATCCCCCCGCGGCTGTACAGTTGTGCAACAATAGCCATCATTGAGGAACCGGCGGCTGATTTGGACATCATGGCTCCAAAGAGGCTACTGTTCTGAAGATGACATTGCGAACTGGCATTTTGGCGGTTCCTCGTTCATTCCATTTTGAATGCCCTTCCTGATGTTGTTGATTTTGAAAGCTATGATGTTTTTGTTTTTTGGGGGTAACCTGAGCAAACAGGTGTATATATAATGTACAGTATGTGTATATATATATACAAATGCAACAAACAATATATATATATACACATAAGGTTCAAATGCTTTTGATGGGGTTGAGACATTTGAAGAAATAAGGAGACCTCGAAGTGATGCGCAAGGAGATGAAAGAGCCCCGCGGGTCAATGGCTGATCTCTTGCACCTGACAGATCTGCCTGAGCTGGATGGGGCAGACACTGATGGAAGTTTGAAGCACATGAGGATGCAAGAACTGGTTTCTGATCATGATGCAGTCATTGTTTGAAAGCTGTCCAACAGTTTTTGGGGAACGGACTAAATTGTTCATGTTTACCTCATGTTCTAAGTGTGAGTTCACCGCATGGTGAGTCAATGAATATAAGTAAGTCATTTTGCTATATATATATATATATACACACAGTATATGTCCCAACCGCTTGCACCAAGGCTGGTGAAACCAAGCTGCGCTGGGCCATGCAAAAGGATGGTGATGCTAGCACCCGTATGATACTGCCAGGCTACATCAGTGGAGTTTTGGAGCTGCGTGTGTGCGCCTTTGTGACGGAGCATGCTTCCTGGGAAACAAAGATACAGGAGCGTGATGCGGTTGGCAAGCAGTTGAGCACCCGCCAGAAGAAATCTTACGAACAGTGGCAGATGCGGTGTGAACAGCAGCTTGTTTTCTCCAAGGTCCATGAAGCCCTGGTATGCGACTCCAAGGAAGTGGACAAGAATTGCTTTGCATTTCATCTCCTGCTCAGTGAGGACCCGGAGAAGCTGAGGATTAGGGCCAGCGATGGATCTCACTTCAGGCTCATTCTCTTGAAGAGCACACCTTTCATCCAGGCAGTGGAAAACGTACCTGGTCCACTAGATTTGGAGTTGCCACATCGCTTGGAAGCATTGTCGGAACAGAACTCAGAGGAGTCTGCCGGGGAATCTGCAAACGAGGAGGTTGCTGCCATTCAGCACGCGGAGGATCAATATGCCCAGGAGAACCAGGGGGGCATGGGAGATGAATCAGACTCAGATCTTCTGGTCCTAGCAGATTCCGATGAGGAGTTGGATATGGACATGTTGGATGATTCCGTCAAAGCCAAAAAGGTGAAATCTTTCAATTTCAGAGCAGCATGGCAAAAACTGGAGGAGAAGGGCTTGACAATGCTCCCTCGCGGGGTACCAGGGTGCAGTATCAGCTACCACAGCACCTCACGGCAGTGGCAAGGTATGTACCCCGGCTTCGGTGACCATCCAATGTCTGCTGTGTGGGGTGGCGCTTCAAAGCGTACTGAAGAGGAAGCCATCTTGAGAACTATTAGGGGAATTTTGCATGCTCACCTCCAAGCGAATCCAAAGGACATGCTTTGGAAAGGGCAGCTGGCTCGTGTACAGCAAGCCGAGGCGACAGAATCCTTTTGATTTCATCTTATATACCTATATATATATATATATATACATGTTGTCTAGCATATTCAGATACATATATATATATATAGACAGTCGGAAATATATATCCAAAAGGCAAACGGTTTCAAGATGTTCTAAGTGTGCTGTCGCCACCTGCCCGTATGGGGACTGTAGTCCTTCATTTCTTTCTTTTTTGATATAATTCAATATATATATATATATACATATACACATATACAATATACATAATTCACATTGGTGGATTTCCCCATGGGCAGACGGGCCACTGGCTGCCTTTCCAGCATCAAAAGCACTTGTTCCAAGCAAGGCTGTTTGGTCAAAGTTGTTCCATACTACTAGCTCAACATGTTTCTGCATTGCTTCATGTGTAAATCTTTGAGCACAGAAGATGGTTCAGATTGATTCCAGATTTGAATGGGATTTGAATGGCCTTGCATGACTCTGTGACCGTTTCCGGCCACCAATGTTGGGACAGCTGGCACAAGTACAGCAAGTGGAGGCAACACGATCCCTTTGATTTCATTTGTTGTCCTGAGTATATAATTAGTATGGTTGCAAGATGTTCTAAGTGTGCTGCCGCCACCTGCCCTACGGGGACTTTAGTCCTTCATTTCTTTCTATATATACATTGAATAAGAAAAACAATACAGGTTGGTATGATTAACCTTGGTGTGTTTCCCCATGGGCAAACAGGCCACCAGCTGCCTTCCCGGCATCAGAAACAGTATATAATTAGAATTTCCGAACCACGATGTTGGCCAAAAGTTCTGACACAGTTTGGCCCTGACCTGGTTTGGATCTAGCACAGGTGCACATGCGGTGCACCCGCGGGCTCAGTATATATACATTGAATTTATACCAACTCAAAGACCAAGTTTTTGTTGGTGTGGATGTTCTATGTGATGGAGCCCACTGGGGTCACACAGTGGTTGCATTCATGCAGAGGGCGCAGGAGTTGAAAGACAAACACTATGTACTCAACCTGGATGATGTCTATTGTATAAAGGCCTATTTCTGTGAACGTGCGCATCCAGTCCTGTGTATACCTGCAATCCTGCATGATTGTCGGGGTTTGCCGTTGCTGGCAAGATTTCATTACAATCAGCATTGAAGGAGAGGAAAAATCCAAGAGCTGTGAAAACGAGAGAGGAAACCGGGAAACCCACACACACATATATATATATAATAGCTATGTATAATATATATATATATACATATGATGTTCTAAGTGTGTTGTTTTCTCTTGTTCTAAGAGTGCTTGCGGTCCATGTTCTAAGTGTGCTTGCGCTGGATGTTCTAAGCTCGATGTTCTAAGTAAAGGAATTTCCATTTTGGAAAAAAAATTATGTTCTAAGTGTGTGTCTGCAAGTATACCCCCCCTAGAAACAAAATCTGCAGCCCCGTTGTTGTTTTTTGACCCCCGCCCCTCCAGAACAACATCCCAAAAAACATCAAAACACAAGAAACAGACCAACCAAGACTTGAGTACCACAACGACAAGAAGTCTAGCTACTAACATCTCTCCAAACCTTCGACCCTATCCCTAACAGTGCCCCTTTGAAATCCCTGACTTGCAACATGTGACAACTATGTTGGGCAGCTGTTTTTGTCTCTACCAACAACAACAACAACAACAAGAACCAACCCATGTCTTCCCGCCCCTGCCCGATGATAACGATGACAATGTTGTGATAATGATCAACCATGAACATCACATCATCATCCAGGCGTGGAAAATGAACAGCGCGAAACCACCAGGCGACTACAGGCACCGCTGGCCACTTTCTGAGGATCTGGTTGGAGCCCCTGGGGTGTCATTGAATGGTTTCATCAGTTGCTAGCACAAGCTCGGGAAGACCCACCTTGCAACAGCCGAACCCTCTGCTTGCACCTGGAACGGTATAGGGCTTCGGGACCCAACGCTTGGAGCTGCGACCGGTCCGCTGTCGGCCTCTGCAGATCGCACGCCCAAGCTGTCGCCCAGGTGAGGGAGCTCGGGGAAGCTTTCCCCCACATGCCTCTGCAGCGCGTGACACTTAACCGGTGGATCTGAGACTGCTTTCCCCTTTGGAGGTTGACAGGTGACAGAGGTGTTCAAAAGGGGTGGATGACTGGTCTCAGAATGGCAGCCATGTCCAAATGAACTGCTTGAGGTCTGTCAGCAAAGCTCAAGGTTCACCCACAATCTAGTGTTGAGGATCATTGATGATGCCACAGAATGTCAAAGCAGGCAATCCATACATTCAGCAACACTCAGCAACTGTTAAATCCAAATGTTCCAAGCTGAAACCGGACAAACTGCTGAGACTGGTGATGAGGAAAGACCTGGTAGTATATATCTGGTAGTAAATCATCCATCTGATCCTCTTGCCTAAGGCAACCAGGCAACTAAGGCCCACTTGTTGAGAATCCCCAGAGAGAAGTTGTGCTAGAAGTTGTGCTAAACCCAACTCTTCGTTTCCATGTTTGCGGCAACCGAGATCCAACCAATTGAGGGCACCAGGTGACGCAAAGGTGACCCTCCCACCACAGTCCAAGACCCTCGGAAGAATGAGGTTCTGATACAAACCAAATAAATAGTCCACGACCCAGGGCCACTGGCCTGTGTCCACATCCGTCCAGATTCCTAGACAATATCCGTCCACGTTTCCAGGTCTTCCAAGTCCCGATCAATGCAGAAACGATCAGTTTTGTGGCAAACGATTGGGAAGCGGAGGTATCATTTCAGACAGAACTTGGATTGTTGAGACCTGCAAATCGACCCGCAAGTACGTCACCCCCGGTGAATGAGCAGATTTGCTATCCGCAAAAACAAAGCCCAACATTGAATTTTAGTTGATATGTGTTGTTTGTTCAACCCCTTTGACATATAATGTTCACCAACCCCCACCCTATAGATCAGCCAATTTATTAGCTCTACTTCCTACACCCCCGAAAAACCATGAAAGCCACTTAGACTTGTTCATGCTGGGTCTTTGTTGGGGGATGTCTCTGCCGTCCAAAGCCCTGTCATGGCCCTTGTCATGGCAAACCCAGAAAGAGTTCTTTCGTCCAAGTCTGGCACTAGACTATCTCGTTCTCTCTCTCTCTCTTTCCATATATTTATAGAGAATACATAACGATATATAACTGTATAAATTTCGAAATCACACATACAACTCCCGCCCCCCGAAACCGAAAACAAACAAACAAACACACAATCAAACAAACAAACAAACAATCAACCAATCAACAAAAACAAACAATCAATCAAACATAATCAAACAATTAAAACGTACTCAAACAATCAAAGAAACAAAATCAAACAAACATAATATGACATCATCAAACAAACCAACAACATGTCAAAGTCCCATTTTTCTTTGTTCGGTTTCCCTCTCCTTTCCCCACTTGGCGAGTCCCGTCCGCCTGCGGAACTCCGCGGAGTCCAACACGTCGCTCAGGCCTCGGGCATCAAACGAACAGAGCGATCGGACGCGACATCGGTGTCGGTAGAAGAAAACGTTAAACGTACCCTGGAAGCCCAGCTCCGTATCGCGAAACACAAAGAAATAGATCGAAGTCCGGATCTGAACACCCAAGTGCCAGTGATCTCTATTGTGTTGGAACAACCATATTTGTTTCTGGTTGGGGACTGGGGTTCCAGGATTGGTGGTTCTTGGTTCAATTTCGTGTCGTTTCTTTTTCAATTTGGACAGGACAAGTGTGCGAAGTTCGACACATTTTAGGCAGTTTAATACAAACATCTGTATGTGTCATCCTCGAACGGACGATATAAACTGTCTTCGAAGTCGAATGCCACTGGATGTCCCAACTCCAGATTCTTCCGGTTGGCGGCCCAAGTGGCTTAACGTTGCATCTCCCAACCCTTTCGCCAGGTGCGGGAGGCGTTCCGGTGCGCTACGTGCACGCAACCTGAGCGCGAGGAATCGATACTACCTGTATGGAGCTCCAAACTGATGGACGAACTGACCTAAAAGAACTATCAATTGAATCAATGCCGCACTGGTCGGTTTCGTTGTTTCAAGTCATCAACATTGGGTGTTGATATACTTTGTTTCACCAATGATGCATGTTTTAGGGGCTTCTCTTCCATAATATATGTTTGCAGGGCTCAGACTTCACACGTGTCACTCCATCACAGCAATAACCTGGATATTCAGAACTGCACAAACATGTGACATTGTGACATTATCAACACTGTGTCTTGCGCGTGTTTTGAAGATATTCCCGCCCCCAAACAAGAAACCGTGGAAGAAAGCCGACTTTGAAACCAATGTGTAGCTTGAACATGGCCAACGTTCTCTTTGTGACGTGACCAGCGCTCTGTGGCGAAGCAACGTCAACGCTGAAAGGCTTACAAGTAGTCCACTGTTAACTGACAAAATCAACGGCCGGAGACAACTAAGGACGGCCAAGAACTCTGCAAAACGGGAAGACGGCGGGAGACATCGAGAACAACAGGCGAGCCGAGCAATCAAATCCAAACAATTATTGTAATATCAATAGGGTCCAGGTACCTCCTGAGGATGGTCTTGAAGGTGAAAGTACTTCCAGAGAATGGTCTTGGGGGGTCAAAGGACATCCTCAGGATGGTCCTGGACCCTTAGGGATACATATATATTATATATAATTATATGTGTAATATAATATATCTGGCCGGCCTCTTTGTCATCTACGATAATCTGTCACCAAAGTTACCTCATGCACAACCATGCAAAACCCACTCTTCCCCTTTGGTCTTCCTCTCAAAGGGAGACGGATCGGTTCGTTCATGTTCTTGTCGATCTTCCAAGAAGCTCATCCGCCAATTGCAGCAGTTGGTCAGCATGGCTCCCTTTTCCAGCCAGGAGAGCTCTTTGGATGGCCTCTCCTTAGTCGGACTCTTGATTCTTCTGCTTTGATGTTTTGGTGACTCTTGTTTTTATGATTCTCCTTTGGACGTCCAGTTTTGGACCAAAAGCCACCGGCGGCAGTCCTAAAGCCGCCCCAAGTTCCTGAGGATCGACCAATGAACTGTTCAAACATGACAAAAGGAGGTCTGAACATATTCCTAGAACCTGAGTGACCCCTGTTTGGGAGCCCAAACTTTGTCTTTTCCAATAGGAGCGAAGGTCAAATTGGTTCTAGGTTTGAGATGTTGGATGGGTTCAAGGCTTGCCTCGTGCCAAACACACCGACTTGATGGTGCCTAATCTCCATGAAACTTGGCACTGTATGTTGACAATATTCTTTTTACTTTTTCCAGCAGTCGTTGTCGAAGGACTGACTTTTGGTGATCCTGAACGCAACCAGCTCATTGGAACCAACGATTTAAACACCTGTGTAATTTGTAGAAGATTGTTGTTGGTGTCAATGATTGAAATTAAGTCCGTATGTGTAAGCTCTTCAGCCCTATGCGCGCGTACAAGTAGTAATCTCTTGGTTTTCTAGTGTTCTGTGTGCAGCCTCTTACACGTCCTTAATTTCTCAGTGATTTCCTCAAGCTCCCCCGACAGCATGCCATGCAGGGACTCCTCTTGCATAAACAATGACAAGTCTTCTCATAACCGACCGCGAAAGGTTCAAAGACATCCTCTCTAGCACCACTCATCAAACACTGGTCACCTCAGGGATAAATCACACCCTGAGCATCAAGGGACAGGAAACAACCTGACGATGCGAGGTATTGATAGTTTCAATCGAACAGGATGTATAGTGTTAATAATACCTCAAAACAGGGCCTCTGCAAAACCTATCGAAATCTGTCATTTTTTGAAAAAACATATCGATTATCCGTCTGAAAAGCCACCTAGATCTATGAAGACTTGTGAAGTTCTGTGAATTTACCGGATTTTGTGTTGAACACCTGTCGAAGTTTCATTGAAAGCACACTCAACTATCTATTGACATCTACTACAAGACCTGTCAATTCTGTATTGAACAATTGAACAACCTGCCGATTGTTCGTTGAAAAGCCTGTCCCAAGATCTATAGAGTTTTCTCGTGGAAACCTGTCCCTCACCTTTAGGAATCAACCTACTGTAAACACACATATATAATATCTTAGAACTTATCATATATTGTAAATGATATATTTGCACGTAAAATCGTGTAAAGCCTGTAAAGGATTGAAACTACCTGTCCTAAATCCCGAGGCCCAAAAGGATTGACACCATGAATCAATTGTGATCGTTTTGTATCGCACAATGCTTAGGGCATCTGTCCATGTTTTTGTGCAACAATCCGCAGTTGCATCACCCCCAAACCCCTATCCCCTTCGAGGACATCATCCATCCGAACGCACCTATCCAACATCCGTCTATGCCAACGACCTCCCGCCAGGAAGCGTGCACGGAAGCACATCTTCTTTGAAGGTGCGGGCTTCTGGACCTGCTCGTGGTGGCAGTTGGTGGTCCATGGTGGTCCAGCATACCCGTGTTGAACAGTTTGTGCAAACGCTTGAATGAGCGAAAACTGACAACACACATCACTTGGTGGTGGTCAGTTGAAGAGCCACCGCCCTTGTCATTCACAGGGGCATCACATGGAGGTGGTTGAACCACCTGTGCCGGCCAACTGCAACAAACACTCGCCCTTTAAGAGCTACAGGAAAATCTCTCAAAACTTGTGGCACCGGCCTTGAATGTTGCTTTGTATGAGGAGTTTATCAACAAATGTGTGTTGTTGGCCAAGTTCTGCAGCGAGGTGTCCTTCCTTTCAAACAAACTGCACTTGTTGCACACTGAAAATCCTCAATTGACAGCCAAAGACCTTTCGTGAGCACTAAATATCCCCTGGAGGGTGCTACATGATGGTGCCTGACAGCAACCTTCCCAGTGAGTGGAAAACACCTGAGGAACAAAGGCGGGGACACCGCCTTTTGTAATTAGTTAGTAGTAGTAGTAGTAGTAGTAGTAGCAGCAGGAGGATCAGCAGCAGCAGCAGCAGCAGCAGCATTAGCAGCAGTAGTAGGAGCAGCGGCAACAACAACAAAATAACACTATACCACAGATTACTACAGTAAAGAAAGCTAGGACAAATATATTCAAATACTTAATGAAGGGGATCATCTTACACTTCTCCTCTGCAGTCCAGCACATTTCTAGAACACCAAGCATATTGACCCAACTGACCAGGCCCTGGGTCGATATCAAAAAAGGAACACAATAGTTGTGTCTTAAGTAACCTCAAGACATGGGCAATGCAATTATTGCAACATAGGGCACCCTTCCCTCTTTCCGTTCCACACGACCTGGAAGGACTCAGAAGTGACAGACTCGCGGTTGGGTGGTTGAACAGGGGGTTAATGTATATAGGTAGCAACCCTACAATTTATTGCAAATAAATCCAAGAACACGATCACTATCCGTTAGAGGATAATGACACAACCGCAATTCGGGTTCCTGCAAAGAACACCTACTTCCTCACTGGACCACACCTACTACTTCCTCTCTCCTGACCTTCTGGTTTCGAGCGCGCGCCAAGACGTAAGCAGCGTCAAGGGATTGGTTCAAAGACTCCAGCACCCCTCGCAGGCCTCGGGTGAACACTGGAGCAGTCGCAGTCGCGTCGCAGTCGCGGGCCAATCACCGTGGGCGACGGCGTTGTTTTTGGCGCGGCGACTGCTGAGAGTACAAGTGATCTCCAAATACGACGCAACCACTGGCAAATTGCTGCCACCTACTTACCAAGTGACCTGAACCCCGCCGTTGATCAACGCTTTCCCGTGCTGCAAACATGGGTATTCATTACTGTTACATGAACTCCAGTGTCCAACCGCAAATCAACCATAGATCCGTCATAGATCTGGTGGGAAATGCTGGCAATGTCAAAATATATCGTTACACATGGTCGCAAATACATATAAATACATCTGGTCGGCACGTGTTCCCCGTACGGGCTGGGTGGCAAGCCAAACATCTGGGCTTACAGCGGAAGAATTCTAGTCCGTCACTTGACAGTGCTTGGACATCCGATCAACACCGCAGTGGGTCACCCGCAGCCCGGTTTGATCCGGTAGGTTGACCTCGTCTCTTCGGTCGTCTTCGGTCGGCTGCCCGGTGCCATGACCCACAGCCGGTTTCATCCAGTTTCATCAGTTGAGATCGGGGCTTTGGGGATGTTTTGGACAGCAGTTAGACTGAAAGACTCAAGTCATGTGCCCGACATGAGAGCTGAACGCCGCTGAAAAACACCCATGTATCATGGAATCTTGAACACTTATGGGACTCTCCTTGAGAGCAAACAGGCCGTTGTTCAAGAACAGCTATTGGAGTGAGGCCTCAATATATAATATAGCTTTGATTTGGGGTTTTCAGTCAGAGGCATTGGAAGGCTGGCGTATGTGATTGTTCTCCTTTGGAACCGTGATATTGAACTTGTGGGAGTTGGGTTCTACTTCAAAAAGGGTTGCGGTGTTCATGACAAAGCTTAACTCAACCCGTAAAATACTAGTCAATTGACCAGGCAAAACCCTTTTCAAATAGGGCCAATTAGGGATGAACGAATACAACATATTCCAACCTCCGCCCAGAAATTGGCTGGGATGGAGGGACGCTGTGGCCTTATGTGGGAGCACATTCACGGGGGGTATTGGTGGTAATCAAAGTTGCACCCCATCTACAGCTGACCTCATCCAACAATTTCATTTCAACCGAAACCTCCTAACTCAAACTGCCTGCTTAACTGGATCATGAATCCAATTTGCACATTGATGTCAAACCATCTCCTGTTCTTTGGGCTTGGTGGATTTGTGGTCAATCACGGCATATCCCCCCAAAAAACTATATATATACATAAAGCTTTGACAATCCCTGACTCAGACATACATATATATATATATACATACATTGAGGTGCTTTCAGCGGTCAATGTAGCCGGCATATTGGAAAGGGTGTCTGGGACTTGCTTTAACGGCTAAAACGCTGACAACGGTGCCACGTCAAAAGGCCCCGCTTTGCCTCGGCGGCCAAGCGGCTTTGGACCTTCTCGACCAAGGCGTCCTAGCGGCGAGCCCCGTGCATCCCATCCGCGAGGAACATCGATGGGAGCTTCAGCAGCTTCATTCGGCCTGCTAGACAACCTGGTGAGACTCCCCATTGGCCTCCAGGGGTTTTGCTAAGACACTTAAGTCCAGTCCAGGGGCTCCAGACTTCCAATGGCTGGAACATGAAAAAAGGCCAAGCAAGGAGAGTCCTTCCGAGGAAATAGGAACGAACTGGATTCCCAGTCCAACAAGTTGAACAAACTCTATATATGTTCGCCTTCCGCCATGGCAGTTTGAAAACGACTGGCACTTGCCACCATAAATCATATTTATATTGCTTACATTACATGCAGCATCAAAATATTGAGTTCACAGTTTCATTCAATCTCTACCCAACAAAGATAACAAAGGAACCAGCCCGAAGAAATGCCTACTGCCGCCCTGCCACCCACGCCGCTCTCCAGCACTGGATGCAGCCACGTGGAGACGCGGATCATCCCGAAGTCACCCAAGCCATCGCTGATGCGGTGGAACTGCACCAACACCTCGTCAGGTGAGTTCCGTGTCTTTAGAAGACGCGGGTCACGCAGGTCGCATCGCTGGGTTTTCATGATGCACGTGGAGGATCTTGGAGGGCTGGGTGAGGTTGAGGGTGAGGTTGATCCGATTTGGGGCTCGAGTTCTCACCCAAAGCAGGGTCATGCAGATCATCTGGAGATGCGTTGACTGATACGTTGAACATGGAAAGCAAGAAACACTCTTCAACTGACTCAGATTCTCCTCTGCCTCTTGGAGCTTCCTACAAGCTGAAATCCCAACATGCAACATCAGATTATGTGATTCTGGGACGGAAGTGTGGCTGAAACTTCCTCCATGACTCCATGACTAGTTCATAGAGCTTCTAACTGGCAAAAGGCCGTATCTGCGACCTCTCCAAGCGAGCGCTAAACGGAACAGGAAGTGATTGAACATGGAACATCCCAGTCTTTCGTCTGGAGATTGCTGGCCCCCCCCGGAGTGACTTCTCAAGGTTCAAGGTTGCTATTGTCCAAGGCTTGCAAAGCACTTCCGAAGCATCCTCCTCCCAGTGCGAGGTGGAAAAAAGGTGAATTCGTGGGCATCACTTCCACCTTCTGGTCCCCGTCCCAGTGTTCCACCTCATTGATGTTCACCCTCATTGCAGCATCAGTGTGTTCCCTCGATCAACGGGTGCTGTGTCGAAATATTAGCAGGTGGAATTACATCAACACACAGTGTCCCAGCACCCTCCCTCTTGGGAAGCTCCAGTTTGGGCTGCGCGCGGCATCATGTCAGCACTGAGCACACGACGAGAGCAGAAATCAGTGCAACCCGATTGATCCCCTCTTCAAAGAGTCTGATCCGCAGTTGAAAAAACAATAACAAACTAGCTTGAAACATATATCCAAATATGCTGTTGTGTGTGTGCCTCATGTGAGGGTTTTGCTGCCGCATGGATTGTGTTTCTGCCTACATGTGAAGACCTGTGATGAAAACCACCGGGCACGATGCTTCGTCGCTGCCTCTCCGAGCAAATAGGTCAGATCGGAGGTGATGATCACGGCCTGTGCCGAAGCGTCAGGCGGATTCCTAGCAGGAACGTTCCATGTGCAACTGGCTGGATTGGGTACGGTCCTATGATACTATGCACCTGTCCCCCCAGCCAAGTCTGTTGGTCAATAGACCAAATGCTGCATTTTTCTGGGTCTTGTTTTTGTTGGCCATATCCCCATCGCTCACGTCTCATCAATCCCTTTATACTTTAGAGATGCTGGTTTGGTGGAACTCCAACGTCCGGGGTGGCGGGTCCTCACGGCCAACGTGCATCATCTTCCCTTCGTGAAAGCAACCTTTGTGTGTGGTGCAAACATCAACACATCACAGGTCTTTGAGTTTCTCAACGTTACATCCATGTACAGTCTGGAATCTTCTGGATGTCCTGGCATCTCCAATGTCCCTGTTTGCCTTTCAAATCCTTTCAGTATTTTCTTCTGTTGTACTAAGAATATTGGCCCCAAACAAGAGAATCTAGTCTAACAATGTCTAACAAACATGTTGCTGTCGATAGTCGATACTTCTGACCATAATACTCTTCGACGAGTTGTACCACTGGCTCAACGGCAAAGCCCAAGTTCCAAATGAGAACAGAACAGATCCACTTCGTCGTATTTCTTGTGATTTGTGTCTTTCCCTAGCTCCATACAAAAAAAAAAAATTAGAGTGGAGTGCTTCTTGGACAGCAGAATATCGTACGGTCTCAAGACCGGAGGGAACTAAGGAAACACACATCGGGACATCGATCCTCACTGGGCTTCCCTCCAGAACAAATTTCCAGAGAGAGAGAGAGAGAGAAAAAAAAATAAGACATTGAAAAAGCAAGCAAAATAGGATGGAAACTACCCTGTAGAAGGGAGCAACAGGATGACACAGGGAGACCCCAAATTCACTAATGTCGACTGTTGATCAATAACGCCCCCAAGCTCTAATTATGGGTCATTCACCTCCACCATGGTTGACTTTTGCTCAACAGTCAACTTTGAAGGATGGACCTTGTACAGCAAGGACAAGACATGTCAAGAACTGTCCTCCCAAAAAGCGAGGAGAAGCATCCCCTGAATCCATCCTTCCCAGCGCCCGCTGCGTGGTGCAGCGCCAACCTGGATCCACTTCGCTCGCTCCAGCTGCCCCTGCTCTCGCAAGGCGCCGACCAAGCCACTGGCCTCGTGAAACCCCAACGACCCGGTGGAGTGGTGGAGAGGACGAACAAGGTTTCGGGTGGTTTTGGAAGGCACTGTGCTGGTTTAGCGTAGTTGCCGGGGTTACGGGGTTAATCCGAGGCATCTGCGCGGTAAAAACGGCATCGACAATTTGATGTTTTTACCGTTTTTACCGGGGGGCGCTCCTTTTGTTCTAGGCGTCCCTTTTTCTTTCTGCCATATTCGCGGTAAAAACGGTAAATACCGTTTTGCTTTTTTCCGTTTTCACGGGCAATTACGGCCCTTTTTCTTTTACCATATCCGCGGTAAAAACGGCAAAAATCGATTCGTTTTTACCGTTTTTAGTGGGGGACGCTTCCTTTTTCAATACCATATCCGCGATCAAAACGATAAAATCAATTTGTGTTCTTTTTGTACCGATTGGATCGAGGGGGGCAAACGGGTCTATGTGTTTTTTGTTTCGGTTTTTAACCGAGGGTCACCGCTGTTTCTTCTGCCATATCCGCGGTAGGTAAACATCAAAAGTTTTCGATCCAAGTGATAGGCTTTCATTGCCCTGCAAAACTTAAAAGTCATGAAATTGTGATCGATCACCAAACTCCTCTTGTCGAAAAGGGCACACTCTCCTACATATGATAGGAGGAGTGAACCCCACCTGATTATAGGAAGATACCTGGGCTGTAACATTAAACCTTTTTCTTGACAGAGGTCTTCTAGCTTGCGACCTGGTCCCGAGGCATTGTCGCGGTAAAACGGTCCAAAGTGAAAATTACTACGTACTTTTGTTGTTTCTTCTTTTTTTTAATGAAGAGTCGCTTGGTCTTTTTGCTTCTATCATATCGTTAAAAATCAACGTTGTGTTATTTTCCGTTTTTGTAGGTGGACTTGTCCTTTTCTTTTCTACCATCTCCGTGGCAAAAACGGTAAACATATTTGTTTTGAATCGTTTTTACTGGGGGCGCTCCATGTTTAAATTTCATATCCGCGGTAAAAACGGTAAACATCGAAAAGTGTTTGTTTACCGTTTTTACCGGGGGGGCGCCCCTTTTTCTCTACCATATCCGCGGTAAAAAAGGTAAACATCGAAACTTTTGTTTGTTTACCTTTTTTCCTGCGACATCGCGAAAGGATACCCCTTAGCACAACAACGCTCGCGAACCAGCTTAGGGAAGTCTGAAGGTGAAGATCACCCAAGGTTTGGGATGTAATCCCTAGGTTGTAGGGATCCAGTCGTATCTCCTCAGAAGGTACGACTGGAGCCTGCTTACATCCACCCCAACACCTTAGAAGGTGCTTGGAGCCCTTGGCCCTTATATAGGTAATGATTGCGTTCCTTTTTGAAAATCCTAAATATCCAAAGATATCCCAAACCTTTGAATGACTCGGGAAACAACACAGTCAGGCTGGAATCTCGAAGCTGTTGACTGTGGGATCTTTCGGATCGGCTGGACACTCAGAACTAGATTGTCAAGAACTGGTCTTGTGCTACAAGCCAAGGCCTTGAAACGTGATTCATGGGAACCTTGGAGTATCTCAAGGAACTCTCTCATAACAAACGTTTGGGCGAAACACAACGAAAGAAACAATAAAAAGCGCTTGCCTCGTCCTACGAAACTTTGCTTCTTGTGTTTTCTTGTTGATATATCGGTTCTGGCCAACTACCAACACATTCAGGCTGAATCGATGGAATCTGAGGATGGAGGGCGGAGGGTTGGTTCACCGTCCCAGGAATCTGAGTCTGAATCATGCTAGCTGGGTGCTTAGTCTGATGGAACTCCTCGGGGACACTCTTTGGATGTGAAGGTCCAACACCATCCCCTCCATTCCCCTCCCCTCCAAGCCTGTGAATCCGATAAGGTGGAAGAACATCCGCAAAAAGAGCAAGGGACACAAGACACGTCATCCGCAAGAACCACTCGTGGGTTACCCGCCACATGGGCGAGTGGCGCCATGCTTGGGTGCACCCCCGCCTTCGGTGACCCGCCGGGCGACCGGCCACGAACGAATCGACGTTCGCCACTTCCGCTGCCGTGCCTTGAAGTTCCCCGCGTCGAAGTGTCTCTGTGCCTGGCGAAGCCGGCGTCGGGTCTCCCCTCAGAGCAGCCATTTGGTGTCCAAAGGAGTTCACCCTGCTTTCAACCGGGCCTCCTTTGGGAGACACCTTCAAAAGCGGAAGGCTCAGGTTTCATGCGGCGGTGCAGTATCATCATCTTTGGCTGCAGAAAACTTCCATATGGCCTCAAACATGTGGCACCCCTTGACCCTACTTTTGCTGACCCACTCAGTTTCCCTTGAAATAAAATCTATAAACATGTTCCATCTGTTCAGATTAGTGGGGAAACCCATCCAGGTCCCCCACAAAAAGGCTTTGCAGGTTATATCACAACTTTTCCTGGGCACGCTTGGCCATATTATTCGTCTATTTTGGTCTTTGGGTTTGTTGCTCCTCCCCTGTCGACCGGATCTGCAGGCTGGCCGAGTCGTGTCCTAGCCATGCCTACCCGCTCGAGGTGCCCTCCTGTGGGTTGGCATTCCTGTTCTCTTCCGTGCACCTGTGCCTATGTAAATGCAGGGCATCTGAGTTTCCCAATTAAAAGACATGTGGTAGCACCACACCAACTCTTGGTCGTCGACCCATCTGTCTCTGCGTAAAAACCCGCCGCGAACGAGACAAAGGGTCGACGAAGATTGACATGGCGACGGCACGCGGCGAAGGATTCAAGCTAAAGGAATACGACACACACACACATGCAGAAAGGGGATGAAATCGTGGTGATCTCTGACAAGTCTGTCACAGATTAACCCTCCCTCTCCAAGCACGCTCCTTTTTGGAAGGACCACAAATGCAGGTGTGGTGAACCACCACTACAACCTCAACCCAGCAAAGCTGCCACCACTGCAATCAGCATGCATGGAGGTGAGGGTTTGCATGTTCACCTAAAGATGAATTGGTCCACCGCCTGGTACATACACAAACGGGTACGAGAAATCCAACAAGGATCTCATGGGCTCATGGGGAGAAGCTAAACTTCTACATTCTACATGCAAACGAAACCTGAAAACAAACTAGACTTAGAGCAGGCCTAAATCTTGACACGAAGGGATGTCGGATGCCGGAGGGATAAAGGAGGTCATGCAGTGGCGGGTGTGTACCTTCACATGATCTTGGCAATTCCCTGGCCTGGGGGAAAAATGCATGTCAAGCCAACGGACTGGACAAAGGTGGGGAGTCCATGTTTGAAGATCCAACTCTTCACCGACTTCTCGTCCCCAATGACATCACCCGTCTTTTCGGCTGCAACAACCAACTCCGTGCTGCTCAAACAACACGAATGAAGGCATTTGCCTCATGCTTACGTCTGGAGATTGGACTGTAGAAACTCTGCAGCTGTAAATTGTAAAGCTTGTTTTACAATGCACACCTGTTACTGTTGCAGCAATGGGGTCTAGACTCTAGACATTGTACATGCTCATGTTCCCCCTTCCCAACCATCCCACACGCACAGCTTCACCTCTTGGAGAAGATTTTGTAGCGTTGATGTCTGGAAAACCTCAATTCAGCCACAAAGGAGCCGGTGAGTCGATAGGCCGACGCATTCAAAGGATGAATCGAATACCTCTGTCATTTACACTGAGAAAAGGAGAAGGAAATCGTTCATGTTTGCTTCCCATGAAACCATCTCTGCAATTTCAGCAATCGTTTTTGCAAAATCTTCCGTGTAGCGGCAATGTGACAATCACTCATTTGTGTTCAATGCTTGCTCAGGTATTGAACCCCTTGTTTGCTCACTGATCACTGGGTTTTTTGATAATTCAAAAACATAACGGTCTAGGGTCTCCTGCCACCACAGGAGGACACAAGCCAGGATAAACCACTCGGGTTTCAATCTTGAGTGACTTCAAGCATACATGCCATTACACAACCAATCCTCTGCGCAACTAGTGACCTGGCTGCACCAAGGTCAACAAAAATACAAATATGTTACTGTTGTTGGCAGGCACATCAAATCGAACACTTGGTGCAACAAATATTGGATCTCTCTTTTCAATCACTTGCAGGGTTAAACAACAACAACAGCAACAACAACAACAACGCAAATCCTTGCAGCTGGGTGTTTTGTTTTTTTTTGTTCGGGTCGCCCTCAGAAGGACCTCCAAACTTCACTTCGAACTGCGCTCCTCACACAACGACCGAGAGCGCTCTGTGACTTCACTTCTCTCCAAGCAAAAGTCGAAGGGTCGAAACGAAACCGACCATCAGCGAGCTGGGCAACTCTCTTCTTGGGCAAACACCTCAATGACTTAGGCCAACCAAACCCAACTCTTGATTTTCTTCCTGTCTGATGTCTCCAACTGGTGGAAAAAGTAACCTCACTCTCAGTTTTGGGGAACACAATGACTGAACCATCCTCACCTGTCAGCTGTGACGCCCGGCCGGTGCCCCTTCCAATGCCAGCAGTCGGGTGCTGCTTTCGGCATCGGCGCCTGCAAACAAGCGCACGCACCTGGAGCGCGCGCAGAAAGAAGCACGGATGCGCGTGCCAGAGCCCCCGATCTGGTGATCATGTCAGGACAAAAAAACAGCGGGGAGCTTCCTTGAAGAAGCGCTCGTAACTAATGATGTGGTTCCTAGATTTTATGAAAACTTAACATGTAGCTCTACACAAGACCAGGTATTTTGCGCTGTGTTGTTCATTCGCGAGTGTTCTACAGTCTTGATATATTTTGTTGTTTTTTTCGCCAGCTTTCAGCTTAAAGACAATGTGTTAGTGATGGGCAGAGGGGCAAACTCATGCAAACTCTATAAAGTCTCATGAGTCTTCAGAGCAACTCCCGAAATAGGAATATTAACTTATTAACGCATGTAGCAACAACAATACTTGGGTGACCAAATATTGTGTTTATTATACACATGTAGCCGCAGTATACACAGTACTTGGGCATGTGTTCTTTGAATTATAGCAACAAGTATTATGTATAACATTATTTCTTATGTTAAAACATGATTGAACAAATTATGTTAAAGGATTCTTATGGCCAACTCGAGAACACATCGCCCTTTTGGGGGCTCGAGTGCAAACCAAACCACAAGACTCCTTTATATAAGTGAACATGTAGATTTGTTTTTGTTGTTTTCAACAAAAAACGAAAGTTTGTTTCAAAAAGGATAACATTAAATTACCTTAAATAATCAAACCATATTTATATATTATACATGTGTGTTGTTTACAAATTGAAAGACTGCAATATAGAATGAGGCCCCAGGCCCTAGACTTTTTTGCATGCTCAAGTTAAATGTGCGTTTAAGATATGGTTTTCTTGTTTTAACATACTGAATATTTTGGTGTGACGCGTCCATTCCAGCGAGTACCTTTCCGGCTGCTTTCATGTTTTGAGGGACCTCGGAGAATTTCAATGAAAAACCACATGAGAATTTGTTGAACGTATTCTGAGAGTTAAACTGTGAGAGTTTTGAGGGTCGAGCAATTGACTAATTTAACGTGGCTCACATGCCAAACATGTATTCCCGCTCTCATCATCTACACAAGCTGATCGATCCATATAATCGGAAATAAAACAAAAGCTGTGCACTAGAATGCGACATGGATCATCGGGCAATGTGTTCCAAGACTTGTTTCCAAGCTCAAATTCTTAAACGGACGCTCTCTGCACTTAGGCATTACACAAATTACACTTAGTTTGATTTGGTTTGTTTGACAAATATAAACAACCCAATACTTGGACGACCCCTATACTGTGATATTCCATACTATCCCATTATGCATCTCACAACAGTAGCTGAACCCCTCAGGTTTCCCTGGAAAAATAAGGCTTCACCGTTTGTTTCACCTACCTGTTGGGATTAAAGTGGGCTGATCCTAATCCCCAAAAAGGCTTCTCCAGCTGATCCACATACTTCCAGGTTAGGGGAGAAGGGCTAGGTCAACGTAAATTTCCCACCAGTCCCTGCCGAGTTTGGACATTGGGGCACCAAGGGCTTTGAAGCAATGCCGCGATGATCATCCCCACGTTGCTCTGCCAGGCCTGTCGCTTTCCAGGCTGCGATGCAGCTGCTTTGCAACTGAAACAATTTTGAATGTTCCGACATGGAAGGTTTTTGCAAGGCCTATATAACCATCCAACATGGGGATGATCAAGTGGGGGAAAAAACAAAATAGGACTCCGGTGAAAATATATGTTCCGGAGTGTCCCATAGACATGACATGATATAGATGTAATATTAATATAGTATTATCATCCATTATAAAATATCCAAGCTGACAAATAAAAAAACTTGACAACCGTCAAATCGAGCAAACTATTCCTTCGTGTTTAATCACCAAACAAAAACATAAACAAAACTGTGGATCCAGCATCTTGAGGCATCTGGTACTTTTCTGCGCGTTCATCGATAATTACTTGGGTCATGGATACTTCTCACTTCCCATCGATAGACCTGATCAATCCTGAAACCTACTCACTTCTCAAATCGCCTCAGATCTTCTCATTTCTCAACCACTTCTCAACCCCAAAAACCCTGGTAGGGCCTGGTGGCCGTCTTTCAACACCGCCCGGTTCCCCCGGTTCCCCCCACCTTGGACATGAGCCTTTGCAGCGCTTCGTCCTTCCGATGGGGCCTAGGAGACGGAACACCGGCCTCCAGCCGCTACTAGCGATGGCCTCCAACCTAATAGATCGTCTGGAGAAGCGTATAGATGGAGAAGTTTGAGGTCCTTCATGGTCCTTCATGATGGTCCGTCCTAATGAGTGTTCATGGGCCATGCGAAAAGAGAGGTCAAAAAACGAAGAACTATTATATAATATTGTTGACATCATACTGTCAAAAGATGCCAAGAGTAATTATATAGGCGAATTAGGTGTACAGTTCTCCTGTCAGCAAGGAGTAGTGACCCACACACCCCACACACACACACACACACATGCACACACGAAGAGTCTAGCTGGTGAGTGGCCATTACAGTAAGTGGTATTTGAGGAATCCAAAGTGAAAAGCCCTCACATCAACCAACAGCAAGACGAACACGTGTAAAAAGGAAGTCGTGGTCTTCCCACTCTCGCACAAGCAAGTGCTGACAATGCCTCTATCAGGGGGGCTTGATGAGGCAGCCAAGGCATATATCATTGCACCAAACCAATTATTGCCAACTCAACCGATACCTACCCAAGTGTTGTGGTTGTTTGCATTGGCTACTTGACCACCCTGAGAAGCACGTCTTGACATCTGGTGTTATCATCCAACATCTACAGTACGAGGGGACTCAGCTAAAGCCAAAGAGGTCCTGAAGACCAAAAGAGCCTCGCCCAACTCCAATTATCTGTCTATTCCCTCCCTTTGAGGGCTCCTAAACAATTCGCTCCTCTAGCTAGTCCGGCCAGTCCCTACCAAATGCATTGGGTCCTTGGGTAGGGATCGTGACCTCACCCAAGAACATCCCAAAACATAGCTTTGACCCCACAGCCCCAAAAAACACCGCAAAGGCCATACAGTAAATGGCCACCTTCAACCCCCCCTCTGAAACGTGACAAAAAGCAAAGGCCCCCGAAAGGAGGATAAAGTCGAAGCTCTCTGTTCTTCGCCGAGTGGCATGGGATGCCCTTCGTTGGGCAAGGACTGCCAAAGCTTCACCACTTCCATGGAGGGAAGACCCTGAAGCACGCCGTGCGCCGCGCCGCAATCATGCGCGGCGCCTTACGTTTGCATCGCAAGGTTCACTGGGCGAAACTGGTTTCGGGAGTACGGGGATGATGGAGATGGCATCCAGCTAAGAAGCACTCCATAGGACCCAGCAAGGTGATGCTAGTTGATGCGCTTTTTCAGCAAAAAATGCGGGTCCCAGGAAAAGGAGTTTCTCTTGCAGAATGAATCTCTCTTCCGGACCATCTGCGAATGAACAATTCCCTCCCCCAAAAATCCTATGATGTGTGGTGCCACAAATCCAGTGTCCTCCACTTCTTCAGATCAAACGGCTTTGGACTGGGTCAGTGTAGGCTCGAAAGCGTTTTGGATCATGGACAGCTGTGTATGGACCAACCCAGCCCAGCAAATATGCTCTTCCCTTTTCTGAACAGTAGCCACTGCAAGGACAATCCAAACTAACAGTAAAAGTCCAAGTATGTTCAATAAAGAGAGAATCCAAGGTAGCTGACTCAAAACCTTAATTCTATGGCTTCTATGGCTTAAGATAAAACAATTAGATCATGACGGTAGCACTCCATGTGACTCCAAACCTCTTTCAGGAGGAATGCCAATTGAGAACCAATATCCGATATCCTACAGTCCTATAAATCCTGATTGCACACCAGCCTTCCGAATACTATTCACAGCTCATGTCCAACCCCCCCAAAAGTTTGAAGCAAAACCACATGAAACATGGCATCCATCCACCCACCCCAAACTCCAATTTACACCAAAAACCAACACCACATCACACCACATCACACCACCACCATTTTGGTCAGGTCAAACATGCGTCTTCTCCGACTCGCCATGCCGAGCCACATCCGTGTCCTTCAGATCGCTGGGACCCACCCTACGACGGCGGAGAAACCCGGGAGAACCCGGCGGGTGGAGGTCCTGTGTTTCCGGAAAGCCAATGGCAATACTAATGTTATCTCTGACCGATTCGCAAAGCTTTGCGACGCATCGTGCACGGCGGGTGCGGTGCAGGCAATACTAATGTTAACAAAACAAAAACCACTGTATTTAGAGTTATATACGGGTAATTACTGTGATGTTCGTGAATTTTGGAAGCATTCAAGGCATGCAAGTATGGTTCACCAAGATGTGGGAAGGGTGAGCGGACCAAGTGTGGGATATATGGGAATATCATCTGGGCATACTAAGCAGGGCGTAGCCACCTGGTGGGAGGACAAATAATTGCAAATAATCAATGCGGGAGGACACCTGTGATCATGTGGGTATGTGGAACTTGTGGAATAATTACACCTTATAAATTTTCTTCTCAGGCTTTGGAATAGTGACCATCCGGTCATCTTCGGTCTAAAGGATAAGTGGCCTAAAGGCCTAAAGCACAAAACCCATTTTGGTTGGAGGGCCTCCCCAGTTCAATACACACCCAACATTGCAATTACATGTTCTTGTTGACTGCAGTTGTCACCCGAGTTCCCAGGCAGCAAGTAGGTGATGGTGTCCGTGATGAGGTTCCTGCTCATTGAGAGTACACGTTGGGCCTCAGTGAGGGATCAAAAATGGATCGAAGATGTTGAGTGTTTCTGCGGGGTCTCACGGGCGTCAGAAAATCTTATCTTCATGAGAGCGAGTTTGGCCTCTCACGACCAACTTTGCTGGGGATATCACAACACCAGAACATAACAGTCAGAACCAACACAAATGCATGTTTTTTCCAGTCGAGGCCAGGTCGCTCTCACCAAAATGCAACAAAAACCACTCTGTTTTTTGGAAGGACTGTGCAGCAAAGAAGCATCAGCTTGCCAGGTTCTACCACTTGGATGTCACGAAAAGAACCCATGCTTCGCTAGTCTTAGGGCTCTTTTTGTCATAAGCTGCAATTGATGGGGATGCGTGTATGGGCAAAAGGCCTTAACTAGCCAATCATCGGAAACTGTTGAATTCCATCCTTGGAAATGAGGCACGCCCATAATTCTTCCGCCCACCGGGTCGACCCGTTTTTGAGCTCACTCGACTCAGAAGACCCGACACCCGATGGTGAATGACTTCATGACATGATGATATCTGGTTGGTGGTGTCAACTACGAAAAACAAACCCATATTAATATTGATTCGGTGGGCTGAAAACATTTCTTTTCTGAAACCACCACCCCAAACTCTCCATGGTGGCGAGCATGACGGCCAATGGAGTCCTTGGCCGTTTTAATCAACCTCCGCAGGGTGCCGGGCCAGTTCCGCGCAACTGCGGTCCTTCTCCAAGACCTGGCGCGATGGCACACCCTGTACCCGGCAAAGGAAAGGGTCATGAGGTAGCTTGTAGCACTTCAAGAATCTTCAGAGAAACATTGGCAAAAGAAGGGTGAACGTCCAGAGTCCATACAGTTTCAATCCTTGGTCCGAAGGAAGGAACTTGAGGTCTACATGCTTCTGGAGCTTGTTTTACAGGCTTTTGGTAAGTGGGGGGAATCACCTTCCAAATGATTGAACAATAAAAAAGTGAAACGGGAGTCTTGCTCAAGAACCAGAGACTCAAGCCATAGAAGGAACATGAAGTAAGGAAGCATTATCACTTATCAAATCGGTTCCGAACTTCTCAAATATCTACAGTACACCCGCTTGCACCTCCGTTTGCGAACCTTTTCACAGAAATACCGCTTCTCAGATATACCTGTTCACCTCACTTTCCCGCTTCTCAGTCTGCCCCAGAAAGACCGCTTCTCAGTCTGAAACCTCTTGCAACTGCCATTGGAGGTGGTCATAGACCTCCACGCCCACGGCAGTGAGCGGTTCCGGGGTGTCCAAGGGGGCACATACCCCAAACACCTTGGAGATATGAGATATATATATATATATACAGAGAGAGGCAGGTATATCATATAATGTTATATATCTATTATTGCATATGATTGCCCTTATAGGGTCTGGTAAGTATTCTTCAGAATCAGAATCCTTCTAACTCAAGGTGTTGCTGGAGTGATCTTTATAAGAGAGATTCCAAGTATTCCATGTATGGTGTTTTTTGCTGTATTTCCATACATTGGGTTGAGGGTGAATGCATAAGTTATATATTATATACCCACATGTGATTGACATATATTGAGTGTCTAAGTATTGACATGCTTTTACTATATGGACATCAAAAAGGGGCACCCTCTGTCTCTGTTAAGAGTGCATCTCACTCAGTTGCAAAGCGGCACAACAAAAGCAAATGCCATGAAAACCCTGATTTGCTAGATGGGCGAGGTACCTATACCCTTTTGCGCCTCCCTTGTCTGCAAGACTGACCAGCGAGACTGACCAATACTTCTACGATTGACTGCTTACAAGACTATATAATATCATATACTTCCACTTGATCTGGGTCCCAAGGTTCAGTGGTCAAATATTCAGTCATCCACACGAACCTGTCACCAGAACTGCTGTTTATGATCTGCAGAAGAGTAGAAGTGGATCAACGAGATTTTGTCGCGCTTGGCGCGGGAGGAGTGGGCCATTCTAAGCATCGTCGATCCAGGTTGTTTTTCCGACGGATCACCGAGGAAACGCCGGGATGCCGACCAACCGACTACCCGCTACCACCGACACAACTGCCAGCGGGCCCATGCCATGGGCCCTTTCGGCGGAGGGTCGGGGGCGTTTCTTTCGGAGTGTCGGTGCAGAAAAAAAGACAAAGACGAAACATCCTGTGGTGTTTAAATAGTAAATCAGGGGTAGTCAGAAGACTAATGGCAACATCATGGCACTGATTGACTATAGGAGTCACAAAGGGGTGGTGTTTAATTAGTCCCATCCAGTGAGTGGATCATGGGCACCGGTATACCCTCCATTAAGCACCCCTTTGTGACTCCTGGCATCCAGAAACATGTTGGAACTCCGCCCCTAAAAGAAAAAACACGGATGTACAACAGAATGCCTGCTTGCAAGTCTCGAAACTTTTTGCATTAGCGGAGGTAGAGTCTCGGCCGAACTCCGAATCACCACAAAATGATTTGTTCCGCAGGACGACTTTCATGATTCCTATTTATTGGTATGGAAAGCACATGAAGGGACCCTTACCTTCAAGGGTCCACCCAAACATGTTCAATAAGGATCTCATGAATAATCCATACCAAGGCAATCCAAGGCACATCTGCCATACTCTTCATAAAGCTCTGAGGATTTCGGGCCTCAGTGGGTTCCACCGGTGAAAACACTCGGTTGAAGACCTCAAGAAGATAATGGAGTTTCTCTACCCCCGGTTGGCTAAGTGAAGGAAAAACCTGGAAACTGACGTCTGCCACTTTGGAATATCATAGTAGCTTCTTGATGCTTCTTGTTCCTAGTAGTAAGGCCACGAGCTACTAGTAGCGTCCTTGCTCCTAGTAGCGATGCCCTTTGTTACTAGTAGCTTCTGGTTTAGCTCCAAGGTCTGACTGGTAGGACTCTCGGGGAATCAGGGGAATCATCGCTACTAGGAGCAAGAAGCTACTAGTAGCTGCTGGCATTACTAGAACAAGAAAGCTACTACTAACAAAGGGCGTCGCTACTAGGAGCAAGAATCCAAAGGAATCTCTGGGGGCGAATCTTCCCGATCAGTAAAAAGGCTTCACAATCCAAATCTGGGGGGTTCACTATAGTAATCAAGAGTTATGTGGGAACTTGAGGGATTCTCATGGGATAACCCAACTGGTTCGTCAAAGGACTTGACTCAGTCAGGCAATCGGTAGAAAAGAAAAACGTGACACCAGAAACGACTTCCAAGACTCTTTACAAGTGAGAGGGGATTTACCTATCTGCTAACCGTGGTCCTCTAGAACCAAAGTTCAGGGACTGGAACCAGTCTTGCACAACTCTTCATTTGATGGCCCTCCTCCCCCTCCTGCCGTATGAACCCAAAGGGTCAGTTCCTGCTCCCCTCCTGCCGTCCCCCCGAGCCGAGCCGATTCTCACCTGTCGCACCGGTTCTCTCTCAGTGTCCCAGCTGGGAAGAGCTGGGGATGGTTCAGGATGTCCCGGCAAAGGCCGCACATCGAACGCACCTTTTTCGGTTCGTGGTGCATCGGGGCAGACCGCGGCTGAGGTCGTGAGGGAGGACGAAGGCAGGAGAAGACCGATGATTCGTATTGAGACACACAAACGATGGTTGAGTAAACGAGTGGTTGAGTAAGACATCCCTTCTAAGGGTCTATTGCCTGACAGTCAAGAAGTTCGGAAGATACCTACCATCTTGACACTGGGCCGCCAGCCCCCCATCATTCCAACAGAGGTCAAGTCTAGGCTTCACAATGGAACACATAGCTGACCACTGGTGTCAGTCCCTTCTCAGACCGGAGACCGTTTTGGAGTTCAAAACGGCAAAGGAACCGTGAAAGGACCAGGTGGTGCGAACGCTGGTCTCTCCACCAAAAACCCGGGATGGTATGGGATGGTTCATGGCCAAGAGCCTGATCGACCTACTCCTCTTGAAGTGACCACTGCGAATCGCACGGAACAGCTGGGTGAACCTGTCGCGTGTCTCAGGCTTATTGCATGATACAACTGCTCAGGAAGTACCTGGACTCAAACAAACATGTTGCACCCACCTGGTGAAAACGGTCTTGTCAGCCAGCTAACGTTTGCTGGGAATATCAAAGGACACCTGGCTGCTGTAAATGAGACGTTGCAAAGCCTCACAGTATCCCACAGTACTGGGAACACAGCCCCATCAGCCAATTTTGGTAAGCATAGTGCGAGAAGGAGCAAATTTGCTGAACAAATACCTCACACACCTTCTGACTGATGGTCCCTGCCTCCTCTTCCGGCAAAGAATGGCAGGCAGCGTTGGCTCGCAGCCAACTTTTCAGCAGCTCACACATGCGGGTCCTGGTTTAGAGGAAAGGAATGTGGGCTCAGCATGCTGGGTTCGCAACGTGAAGATTTCAGTTTCAGATGTTTTTTTCTTAACTTTGGAACCACGAGGCAAGATGGGCTGAAACACTGGGCCCAAAGGTTAAGGAAGACCCATTGGAGAATTGGGTAAAATCATGTAAGCATCATGAATCATGTCCAAGGTTCTCATATTGGTTCATTATGTTTCGGTGCAAACATCTCACTTGGGTGAGGTGAACACGCATTGGGACATGAGGTCCGTACATGTCCATAGCACACCCATCTCAAAGCATCCGGAGAGTACAAGGAGATGATAAGGATATGATGAACTCATGGATTTCCAGTGGATTGGTGGTCGAAGGTCCTGGGAGCCTTGCAAAGCTTTGGGAGCGACAATTCCTTCGACGCCTCACGTTTTGCCGGGCAAATGTCACTAGAGACACCTGCACTGTAGCATGTGATCAGTGCAGTCAACATGCAAGCCTCCTTTCTGGGACAATCCAATAAGCATACATCAGGGTGCCTTTACCCTGTCTGAACAATATTCAACTAAGGATTGAGGACTGCGCTCAAACCAGTGTTGACCAGAAATGGTCTCAGCCAGAGAAAGGCACGTCTTGTATCAAAATCAGATCAGGAAATTGGTGTCACACACTGGCTTTTGGGAAGACACCTGTCACTGTTTTCAGGTTCTTCCCTCGTCCTTCAGAACCCTCCGGAGGCGGCTCCTGGGGTCTTTTTTGTAGGACCGCTGCCATGATGGTCCAAAGTCGCCCTCAAACATCCAAGGCCAACGGGCGACGGGTGGCCAAAATCTATGGCCCTCGTTCGATACGAAATCTATGTGCTCGACACTTTGATGTAGGTGCCAGTAGGGGCCAGAGAAGTACCAAACCTGAGAATGGATCTGTGGATCCCTTTTATGAGGGTTGTACGTATTACAGACCTACCATATAAGTCTTGTTTGGTACGGTACATGTTGATCCACTTCTGGTTCGGCAAGACGACCAATCAATTGCGACCTCAACGGAGTTGGTGGTGGGCATGAACTGAAGTGGTGTACCCTGAGCAATAATGCAGCCTTGATCAATTTGATGCATTATACATAGTCAGTATATATATTATTAATTCGATTATTTGATTTATAATATAGATGCCAAATTGCGTGGGTCAGGGGGTTTTGGGCTGAGAAAGAAAAAAAAGCAAATAGACACTTTAAAAAAGGAAATAGAGGTTTTCAGAAACTGAAACGAAGGGTGGGTCAGAACAGGGTTTGTGGAAGGATGTTTGCACTAGTCCCCACTCAGATGATCCATGCAAAAAAACATCATATAGGCGGCTAACTGCTACCTGGTAAACTGAGTGAAACCTGGCTGCTGGCAACTCTTTTTTTCACTCCGGGAACATGTGGCCACCCCTGCTTTAGTCAGAGGTTTACCGGAATAAGGTATGATTGTATAATAAGGTATGATTGTATAATATTGAATAGGTGTTGCATCGTTTTGCGATTCTTCTTCCAGGTACATTTCAATGTCTCTCAAGTTCCACTGATCCCCCAAGACTTGATGTCTCTTCTCTTCCACATCCAAACACCTCGGGGCTCCTTCCAAATCTCGGGGCTCCCTGCCAACCTCCGCGACAGCCGTGCGCGCCGCGAGCGCTGGTACTCGTTGACCACGTCCAGCGCGGAGACCAAATGCGCCTCGTCCCGGGACGTGCGCGGAGAGCGCGGAGAGGGACGCCGACCGGGTCGTGCAGGTCGGATTCACCCGGGAAGTGAAGTGGCCGGTGACCCGGAGTGGAGGTCCAGCGAATGGAGGGGGGTGCCGTTGAACATCCGGAATCCAAACTGACAAACTGATCTAGAAAGTTCCTCTAGGTCCTCCAAAAAAGGCTTGGATTGAATCACACTTTTCAAAGCACATGCAGCCAAGAGCAGCCAAACGTCACACACGCGGCCAAACGATGAAAAAAGTGTGTAGTCTGAATACAATATAGGTCCTACACCCTGACCCTGGCCATGAAGTTCTAAAAAAGTAACAACAAATACTTAAACATAACAACATACAAATCATACAACAGTGCAAGAGCTAGCGGGTTGACTGCTCCAGTGAATGCATCCAAAAACAGCAGTGGCTCCAACAAAAACAATTAGTGGATTCAATCGGGCTCAATATGGTTCAATCACCCTCAAGTAAACATGGACTATGGATGACTATGGAAGGCTTCAGAAACATGACGTACTCTTGAATAGTTCAGTTCAGTATTCTCTCTACCTTTCCGCCAGTCCCAAGATTAGCAACGGATTTCCTGATGCTGAAGAAGAGTCAATATGTCAATATATATATATAGGTATTCCAGTCACATGGAAGGTCTTCATCTTGCACACATGTCTTCCAGCTATCTCAGCTATCTCCAAGAGCTGCTATCTCTAACCACCTGCCGGACCTGATCGAGTCCGTCCGACTCCCAGGGAATGGTGCGACTCAGCCGATTCCAAGTTGAGAGACTCAAGCCACGGCTCCCTACTTTTCCAAGTCAGAGCACTCATGGCCAAATCATGAAAAAAAAAACATGCAATTGAGACATCAGGCTGGCATCAGGTCGCCAATGCAGGAGGATCCTGGTCATTTCACCCACTACCTCACTCCTTCGCTGCAGTGCAGCCTCAACACCGGTGGCAGCGTGCAACGCGGTGGCAGCGTGCAACGCCGGCGGAACCCGCCTGCTCCCAGCGCTGGACTCCACGTTCCGTGGAGGTCTGTGACGAGTTCAGCTCGCGCAACGCCTGCGGAGCGCGGAGATGATTCGTTTGGGGGTTTGGGAAGTAGAGGACTCAAACTTCAGCGAGGGGTCCCAGTGAGGGAGGACAGGACTTCAAAGCAAATGCATTGGTTCGATATGTTTTCAAATGATGGTTTCATGGATTTTAATTGGTGTTCATGTTTTTCAGGTAAATTGGAGACCGTCTCTTCAAACAATGATTACTGTTTTGTCTTGGGGTGTGCCGCTACAGTTCAAGCGAACAAAACTTGACGAGAAATGGCAAGGCCACAAATGGCCACAGGACATTCTCCGGTCGATGTAGTCTGAAGAGATCTGAAGAGGGTCCATGTCATGGCTTGATATATGTGGAGGGATGGTGGCTGAACGGCTGGTTTTCCAAGCATCTCAAAGCGAAACCATGCCCTTTCAACAGGCATCTGGTTGTTTCAACCCACAAGAAACACATCAAGAGTGAACATTGGTTCCTTGGGCCTGAATCTGTTCCTTGGGCCAGTTCCGTTCCGACGACCTCCGAAATCCATTCCGACTCAAGGGACGACTTGTTCGGGTGACTCGGTCTCCAAAGACTCAATCCGCGGGATGGCCATTTTGGGCCCAGCAATTCCAAACGATATCACCAGCACAGCTCAGCTACATAAATTTTCTGCCTGATGACTTGGAATCTTGTTTCCGGGAGAAACGTAAAGTCGCCCTGCGACATGGACTTAAGTGAAGTCAAACACGGTCAAACATGTTCTGACTTGCAGGAGATACAATTTCCAGCTCAACTACAAATCCACAATCGATTCTGCGGAACGTTGGAGTTGGACAACATGAACAAGTGATATATATATATAATATATACTGTATATATATATTATACAGTGTGTATGTAATTACATTCGACCGGCCAAGAGGTAGTGGCGAAAAAAAAAAATCGCGACACGTGTCTTCTAAGGTTCACCTGCTTCTTGAGTCTTCCTTTCCCATCACTCAATGTGGACCACTGTTGGTTTCACCTCCTGTCCTCGGCTGGTCTGGGTCCCCTGGCTGGATCTTGTACATGTTTGTTCACGATGGCCTGACCGATCGAATGGTCCATTGGTCCTGACACCGAGGTCCTGGAATTCATTGGAATTCTCAGTATACTTCCTGGAATCAGCGTGGAAGTGGAGGCCCTGGCCGCATGGCCCCTGGACACTTCCATGAAATAGCTTCCAGGAAACAGGAATCGCTCCCATGATTGGCCCTTTTGACACCCCCCATTTCTTGGAGCCAAACCCCACGAACGCTTCGTGCCCTGCCCGGCTAGTCCAAACCCCACGAACGGAGCAGCTCACGAGCGGCTCGCGCACGACCATTCCAAAGGGGCGCCCAGTCGGGTGGGAGACGCACACAACACGAAAGCATTCTTCCAAGGAGGTCACAGTTAACTCTTTGTGACACGGGGCTGGGATGGATACGTACAAGAATTATATATAACATGTATATAATACATGGTTTGTTCAGCAACTGTTTTTGCGGAAACCCAACCTGGTTGCCGTACGGGATAGCATCAGCTAGGGCACCGGTTTGCCAGTCGGGGCGAGCGAGCGTACGGTCGGTACGTCCACTTCGATGTTTAGAGGGTACGGGGTTACGGTCAGCCGAATGGCTGGAGGGACGAGACCAAAGCAACCTGTATAATAAGTGTTTTTTTCATTATCTATTTGGAGGTTGTTCAAAATACCATTTTATTGTGTTATGTGGGTTGAAGGAACGACTCCCATTGAGATCTATGTGGACCAAACAATGGTAGGACATTAAGACCAAAACCCTTTGACCACTACCCAAACACGCACCACCAAGCTCCAGACTCAAAATTGGAACGGACTTCCCAAGTGACCCGTATTCAAGGCGGTGCAAGATGTGCAAGTGTGTCTCAAACTGGACCAGCTTCCAACAAAGGTCTTGTTGGTCTTACCGCCAGGGTAGATGGTTTCGTTTGTCTTGACACACCCAACCGGAAGAACCTATTTTCGCGGCCAAAACCTCATAGAAAAACATAGAAAATCATAGAAAATCCCTCAAAACACTTGTTCTAATCCCCGCAAAACCATCCATCTGGCTTCAGTTGGGGCGTCCCATGGTCGTAGAGTAATTCTTGATCACTAAAAATGGCTGACCTCTCCGACCTCTCGTCCATGTGAGGTCCTTCACGTCCGAGTCCATTGTGTGTCATGTGCGTGACATGTGCTGAACGAGTCTTCCGGTAGAGCAAGAGCAATAGTTGTATATATTTGTCACTTGTTTTCCAGGCTTTATCATGAAAGTAATTCCAGCTATCATATGCTATCATGGTACAAAGATATACAACTTTACGAAGAGACTACTCACCTGGAGAGGGAAAGCCAATACAGCGCAGCAAATCCAGTTACCACTAAAAGTATAGATAACCAATGGTTCCAAAGACTTATACAAATCCTAGACATCCGTAGACCGACCGACCGGAACAAAAAAACGACGGCCCTGGTTCCGTTGACTTCGACCGGATTGGCTTCGACCCGTTGGCTTCGGCAAAGGATCGGTCGAATCGGAGTCGACCATTCTCTGCCTGGAGGGAATCTTGTTGCCGCACTGCCAGTTGTGAGCAAGGCATTTGTAGGAAGGACATGACGTCACTCCGCCTCACATCATGCGGGACTCTCTCCGGTTCCGGGTTCCGGGTTCAGGGTTCTGGGCAGCAAGCCATCCTTCGTGTGATGTTGTTGCTGGCAGATCGTTCTTAAACTATCAACACGTAGCCACAAACAAGTTTCCAAGGAGGCAGTTTCCAAACACCCTAGAATTGATTTATGTGAATCTTCCACCAGGGAAAAGTATGAGCAAACAAGGGGTGCCTAGCTCATGGGGCTAGACTGTTGCCGAGGGTGCCTGGGCCTATTTTTCCAATGTGAGCAAGCAAGGCAAGGTCGAAAATCAAAAGGACTGCCTTCTGAATAGTACTAATTAGTTGCGTTCCACATTCAATTTTCGGTTTTTATCTAACTCCTGACTTCCTGAAAATGGGCGTGGTACAGCTGCTATGACCTCTAGCCTCTAGTTCACTATTTGTTCGGTTCCGTCAGCTTCCCTGTTGAAGACACGGGCAAGGGGTGGAGGGGTGGGGAGTCATTGCATGGGTTTGGTGAGTCGGGTAACCGGTTCAAACATGTTCAAACCCATCATCACTCATCCCTCATGGCTGGTTTCTGCGCAATTACAAGCGTGTGATCTCATTGCTTGCAACTGCAGGGAGTGGCCAAATGATGTTGAAGGAAGTCCGTGAAGGAGGGTACCAACTGCCTGTTTGGCAGTCCAACCTAGGCAATCCCGCATGGATACCGGTATCCTGGAAACCAGTCAACAGAAGCTACATCTCCTTTTTCCACACTCGTCATCTTCATCTCCACATCCTCCTCCTCTCATCGCAAAACGGTCCAACGGAGGGCCCAAAGGAACGGACCCCGAACGTCTCGTCTCAGCGTCACGTGTCACCTTGGAAGACGCTGTCAACACAATGCCCCATTTCATCCCAATGTCTTCCAGCGAAGTCATCCGTGCCTCCTCTTGTGGGGGCGCGACGAGGCGCTCTATCGGTCTGCACACTTGATCCGGTCGGCACAGCAAGTAGCCGCAAGCGCAACGGGGTGGAAAAGAAGGGTGAACAACAACTTATAGAACTGTCTACTGGACCTCACACTTCACTTGCCATGTCACCCAAAGGTCAACCAATGTGTCGATGACTCGTGACATATCAGCAGGTTTTCTGGGATGACCGGAGAGAGGGTGTATACTTGAGGAGACAGAAACGTCTGGGCAAATGTTGCCTGGAAACATCTGGAAACTGAACAAGCTGTGACATCACCGACCCCGGGCAAACACATGAAGCATATACTTTTAAATACAAATACTATATATGTTGATAAATATATGCGATCCATGAAAGTCATACAACTGCCTTGTTTATACTACAGTAATGTCGTCTACATAGATTGAAATGCTATTTGGCACCTACATCCTCCAGAATCCGGACCACTCGTCACCCTGAAAGGCCGGTCTACCCATCCGTTCGATGAACAGGACAGGCCTTTGATCAGATCAGGGCAGGTCGTCTATTGAGAGGGGGTTGTATGTACATGTATACCCCGCTTGAATATACATGCCCGGTGATATCAAAAGATATTGTGATATAGTCAGTACCGCTTTCTACATCAGTGTCTCGGACCTTCACTTTTGGACGAACACTAAGTTGTTGACCAAATGCCCCCGGCCCTCCCACCAGTCCCTTCTCCAGCACCGGCTGCCGCACCCAATCACAGCGCTTCGCTGTGTTTGGTCGGGTCATGTCGAGTGGTCTCGTTCTGTACATGTCTCGAGGCGCCGCCACGCAACGGGCCACGCAACGGGTGAGAAACCCATTTTCGTCCGCTCCGAAACCATTTTGGTGAACAGGGTGAAAAGATGCATGTGAGAAAAACAACCCTACTACGACGCTACGAGTACTAGCAAGGACTCAAGACCCTGAAGCACCAGGGGATCATCGACACCCCATTCGGTTGCTACGTTCGTAGCAAGAAGCTACGCACGCACGGGGCTCCTGGTCGTATTGCGAACGGAGCGTTCGGACGCTAGTAGTGGCTCCTGGCATCGCTACGAACGGAGCATTCTTGCTCCTTGGCACCTGTTCCTAGTAGCGTGGCACTTGTTCCTAGTAGCGAACGTAGCAAGAAGACCAATTCGTCCGGCGTGTCGGATCCCCAGTCCTGTACAGCCCATCTCGACGGTCGGCCACCCACACGGGGTGCCAAGCCGACGTTGGAGGGATTGCTCGGTTTCGAAAACTCTCCACATCCTCCGCTTGGCGGGCAAAAAAGCCCAGTCCCTCTTCCAGGACTTGTCCAAGCCAGTTTCGTTGGACGTGTCGCACGTGTCGCAGACGACCTTGAAGCTGAGGATTGAAGCACTTGTCTGTTGCCGGGTAAAGCTCCAAATGTTCAGAGGGCGCACAGTAGTGGAACAAAAGAGGATCCGACACTTTACCCAAAACCAACATTCATGTAGAATCAATAGCCTGAGCCTGGCCGTCTCAGTATCCACCGCGCCTGCACGCTATGAGTCTTGGGGCTTGGAGTGAATCTGCTACTGATCTGAGAAGGGACAGAGTCTCCGGCCAACTACTGGGTCTTGGAGTAGTTGCCGTCCCATCTTGGGGATCAAGCCCCAAAGGAGACCATTGACAAACGCAATGTGTACAGCTTGTAACATCCTAAGCTAGTCAAAGCAAATTGTGGGTTCCAACATAACAAGTGTCAACAAAACATCAAGTACGAGGGCAAGCAAATTTTGAACCTGATCTTATAACTTACAATCTTAAAGGCCAACCTCTTGCAGCATGTCCGATGTATATGTAGAGCCAGGCAAACAGCAGGGCTGGCTAAGTTGGTGCCAGCAACTTGCAATATTGGACCTCAACTCAACGATCCCCTACAGTCAACCCACATGCAGAAGGAATCTATATTCAATGATTCTTACCCCTTCTCAACTTCCCCAACAGCATATTCTGCAAGCTCTGTGATCCTTGCTCGCACCTGCCTGAAGCGCGAAAGCGTAGTCCTTGCCAAGTGAAGCAATGGCTGGACGGTTTGTGGCCCAGAAGAGGCTTAGTGGCGAGAAGGAATTCCATATGTGCCCTTTGGTGAGCCCATCAAAGTGAGGATATGCCATGATCTTGTTTTTGAACAAACCATGTTTGTCTTATTCTTCTGTGGTCCAGGGCTTGGCCCATCCCTCCTCACGGCCCCTCCTCTCCGGGGCTGACTTGGCGAACGCCACCTCCGCGGAGCTCCTGGCACTAAAAAGATGCAAAAAGGGAACCACAAACTCAAACTAGCACCGGGGTATGCAAGAAAATATGCCAAGTTTGCACTTTTCATGGGGAGACCCCCAAATCACCCAAATCCCAAAACATCCCCTGGCCCAATGAATAGGGGTTGGTCTGTTTTCCGAACCGAACCCAGGTGGTCGTGGCCTGAGAGGTCTCCCATGCCTTGAGCTACAAAACCCACGTGTCTTGGTTGAGACGGATTGGAGAATAGGAGCCTCCACCCCCCTCCTGGCCTCTAACCATCTCTAACACCAATAAACGCACACCCTGTTGCATAAGAACTTGTGTTGCTGCACAGTTGGGACCCACAACCCCATGGTCTCCTCTTTGCTTCTGCTTCCTCTCCTGATCCCGCGGTGGGATCATACCTCCCGATGGAACGAAGCAAAAACATCTTTACTAGGCGCAAAACACCTGAGCAACCGACCCTTCATGTCAAGCATCCGAAGCACGGCACAAACAAAAACGAAGCAACTCAACTCAGGGCCTCTCTTGATCTTGAATCTCACCGGGTTCTGTTCTCATCGATCCCTGAAACAGGCTGGGGAGAGCTGTTTGACCTGGTACTCCTCACCGCCCAATGATTTGGGCGACAACACGTCGCTCTTGGTATTCTTGGTTTAAAAACACAATGTCCGAAGCCCTATATACAGTTTATACTTGATTTTACATTACCGCCCTTTCAAGCCGCTACTAAACTACCAACATTGTCGATTTTGGAGGTGTTTTCAATTAGGTTCCAAAAGCAACCCTAACTGCCCACCCACCATGACACGTCGCGTTTACACCAGCAGGCTTTCCTTCCCCCAATGGCACGGACTCACGCAAACGCACTTGCCACCGAGGCCACGCAAAACGGCATGGCACAGCAACATCACCTTTCGAAAGCTTTAGTTGTTAGTCTAATGAAGAATCACTAAAAGGTTTTTGTCAAGGGAAAAGGAAGACCCTTCGATCTGGAGGTTGTCAATTTTGATACGATTAATAGAGGATTTTATGATATGTTCCTGGGATACCGTTTGGTTTTGAAGCTCTTCCCAGGTGTCTGCACGAAATCTGCACTTCAAGCTTCACAAAGCGCTGGGCCTGCCAGGAAATCTGCATTTCATATGTAATCAATGATTATTCAAAGGATCCTCCCACTGACCCTATTTTGGACAACCCCGATTTCAGTGAACCCGAGTTTTTTTGATTTGGGGGGCAGGGGGCCCCCGTGCTTTTTAATAGGTGGAGGGAATTAAAGATGTGCGCTGTGCACCCAACCATGTGTGCCTTTTCCACACCCTTGTATCCCGCGGAGTTCTCGGTTGTCGAGGACGTTGTAGCATACGCAAAGACCCCTATACCGCCTATATCCGCCTATACTATTACTATGAGGTAAGACTGTAAGACCTGATTTCGGTGACCGTGTGGCTTCACCACCCATCTCATCTTTCTGAAAACAAAACAAACAAAACCCACTGAAAACAGAAACACAACAAACAGAACAAAACCCAAACACGATGATCAACCATGTTTGACATCGGATGCGACTTCCAAACTCGGCTGTTGTTCCTTCCTTCCTTCCGGCACGGAGGCACTCCAAGACGTTGCAGGGCAACAAGGTGATCGGAAGGACCGAAGATCTTTGCTTCCAGATCTCCTCAGAACATCCGAGGACCGGGGCACCACGGGACCGATGAGAAGGAAAACTGGCACTTGGACTGCTGATTTCGAGTTAGAATCTCCTCCCATGATTCACTGGGAACATGTGTACGACTGATTGATGATCTCTGACCTCCAGAAGAACAGAACCTGGGTTTTGGGTCTTGCAGGTACGTACTGTAGGGCCTATAGGGAGGCACTAAATAGAAAGAACCCCTGAAAGCCTGCCATCCAAAGTCAAAAAGGTTCATCATGGTCTCCAAGAGACTTTAAATTATGAGACTGATTCAAGGGGCTTGCGTGCTCAATGATCCATATCAAGGTTTGGTTGAGAAAACAACCCAAAGACCAACCAAGTTGGATGTGAACATGTGAATCCCGAGCCGGCTGGTCGATTTGCCAAGTCTCGCAAGTCTTTTGCTAGCACCTCATCAAACACCCAACCCTCTGCAGTAATCAGACGGTCAATCCGTTTCTCTTCGTCGGCCATGCCAAAGGGCCCAGGGCCTACATGTCACTCTTTAGAACATCCCGTGCCCATCCGGTGACGAAAAACCGTCTGTCACGAAGTTCCACCTTCCCCACCTGGGAGGTTTTCTTTTGTTTGTTGCCAGGTGCCCATTTTTCAGGTCACTGCCACCCTGTCAGACCTGCTCCGTGGACCCTCCTCGCTGCTGTCAGACCTCTTCGGAAGACGCCGCGCCTGGTCGCGGCGTCCCCAAACGATGACAGAGATGCCTCGGGGCCGAAGGTATCCGAAGGTTCGAGTGGGATGGGTGTGGAAGTGACAGCGCACTTGGTCGATCCCGCCATGCGCATTGACCAAGAATGGACAACTCAGGGAGGTCAACGATTCAATCTGGCCTAATCTGGCCTGGTTTTAGGGGATATTTACTGTGAGCGACAGGCGAATGCCTCAGAGTTCATTGAAGCAGCAGAACATTGGTCCCCAATGGTCCCCAACGACCGGGGTTGAGCTTGGGGAAGCACCTGGCCTGCCTTCATCCCAATGCTCACGGAGAAATTCGCCAAGCCGGCCAAGCCCATGGCACCAAAGATCCAACTCCCACCACGGAACATAAAACATCCAACCGACGTGACATGATTCCTTGTGACAAGGAATGCTCTTACCTCCAACATGTTCCACCCATCTTCTTCAAGTCCTTCCAATCAACCGAGTGGCGTCCCGGCGTGTGTCGACAGGCGCCCACCGACTTGGCTCGAGTCCTGAGGGGGACGGGGAGGATCCACCGCAGGGATCCACTCTGAGGTCCACGAGATCACTGATGTCCTTATTGGGAAGAACAAAGGGGTCGGTTTGGTGCCATTGACCTATTGGTTGATCACTTGGTGGTATCCCCTCTATTAATCAACCAATCTAATAGTAAATGGCCTTAATATGATTATTATATAGTTGGGAAATCAACAACAAGCATCCTTCCTAAAAAGCAGTGTTTTGGCAGATGTACTTGAGATTACATCGGTACGGTAGAGTAGGCTTCGACGAGCACCGAGATGAAGCTAATGGGCTGACGTGTTTGTTCAGGTCTCACAAGCATCCAGGTTCCATGGGATCCATGAGTGGTTTTTAGAACTGGTTTAGAGTTTAGATGTTTTGATTCATCGACAGTCAACATGGGATGTGACTCAAAACTCAAAACAAGTGGATTCTGCTGTGAACATTGAGATGGTTGAGGTGGGGAGGCTGCTCCGAAACCTTGATCAGCAGCCAGTCCGCAACACTTCCTCTAATAATGTTTTTTGTTGTTTTTTCCTTAAATCATTAAAAGGCTTTTAATGGTCTAGTCTTTGAATGTCTTTGATCCCTCCAGTCACACTTCTCACCACTTGATCGTCTAAACACCTCGACCATCCTCAACCATGGTTTCTGCCTTTGCATGCGTTCGCGGCCAAGTCAAGGCCGAACTGAAGAGGGCATGGCCGGCAAGGCTAAAAGGCTGCAGTGTCGATGCATCGGTTTCAGGAGGTCTTGCGTGGTCATGGCCTGGCAAGGAACACAATGTTTGACTGCTTGGTGGTTTCAGCTTCAGCTCACTTGAACATTCTTTGACAGAGCTTAATCTTCCCGGGTAAAGGTTTCATGAACACATATCCCAAACCACCACCTAGGTGACTACCACTGCCGCCACCCAGCCGCCACCCTCGCCCGAAACTCTCGACTCCCTCCCTTCTCACGCCAGGCTGCCTCTCACGAGGGATGCCATGGACGAACTGACGGTTCACGCTGTCAGTAAAGGCAAAAACGTCTCCGTTCTGCTGAGGAAAACTGAACCTCAACGTCGGCGGTTGCGTGTCCCATCCATTTTGCCGCTCCAAAGCCCTTGGGAAGTGCAAAACTGTTCTGCAATTACGGAAAGATCGTGGACACTTGTTGTCCTCTACAATGACAAGTGGGTCTGTCTTCTACAACTGAGGCATTTTGAAGGAAGGGCGTCAACGCTTCAGGAACTTCATCGTCGTGTTTGACCATGCCTCCATATCAAACGGCACCACTCCATCCACGCCCTTTTGACGCAATGTCTCAAAAAGTTCTCCATCAACTAGGTTGAATCGGGCCTCTCTCTCTCTCTCTCTTATTACTCTTAAGGTTTTGCAAGCAATTTGTTTGAAACATTAAAAGAACACTTGGTGGTCTTTTGTGTGACTCCTCTTGCAGGAGAGTTGATTGAAGCAAGTTGATTCTTAAAACTCCATAGGTTCTTGAAGGTTCTTGTTTGCCGTTGTCTGGGTCTTCCACAGGACCATGGATTCCCGTTGTCGGTCTCACACACTGAAGTCAAACCCATGCAGAAAGTAAATTGTTGCTTGGACGACAGCGACGACGACAACAAAACTAAAAAAAAAGTTGTTAAATGTTGTTAAAGTAACATCAACACAACAATATACAACAATGATTTAACACATGACTATCAAATGACTGCATATACATGTCGTTGTATTCCAAGAAAGCAACAATAACAATAAATCAGAAGGACAATGAGACAGCGACAACAAGCTCCACCTTCATGAGCAGCTAACCACGTCTAACCCAAACGCCTGCCTCAAGGCATCTTCGATTTGCTTCACTTGAGGGCCTTTCAACATTGGTTCTCACTGAATGCCTGAGTTACCCTCAAAATCTTTGAAACAACTCTTTAATGCCGGGATGTGCCGGGATGTTAATCAAAACATCCTCGAAACATTCGATGAAAAGACCCAGGAGTCTCCGTGACTCCACTTTCTTCTCACTCAGCGCCCGGCTGCTCTTTGGTCTCTCGATGCTCAAAGACCAAGGATCGTTCCTCGACACGATCGGCCGGAGCGCGGCCTTCTTACCATATTGAAAACTGCTGCAAAAGTAGAGGTATAAGTTCAATGTCAAAAGCACAGCAAAAAAACAAGTTTATGAAAAGAACCGTTCACTCTACATCTAACAATGCTCACACAAAAACCAATGGAATCTTAAACACCAACATATGCTGGGTGGATGACACCCCGCAAAAATGGATAGCTTCCTAAAGAGGCAAATCACCCAGATCTGGGGCCAATTCGGCCCCCCAGATCCCACGAGAATTTCTGTTACCTCTGAAACGGGCTCACAGCCTCTCCAAAGGACGCGCCGATGGTCATGTTCACTCCAGAGAAGTACTGGTCCGAGTGGAAGGCGGTGAAGTCCTGGGAAAAGCAACAGTGAAGCAAACGGGTTTTGGAAGCAGTTGGAGCTTGGACTGGAGCTGGGAGCATTCCACATTCGGAAAAAATAACCATGTTCATCAATGATCTGTGCTTGAACATGTGCCAACACCTACCACAGGTGTTGTCCCAAATGTGTCCCGCAAGCAGTCGACTGACCTGCTCAGGATAGCTCATCCCTAAGTCTCACAGTAAAAAATACAAGGACAACTACAGCGAGGTCAGGGTCTTCGAGGTTAGGCCAGGAGCGGCCCCTTTAAATCAAGTCGACTGGGATGCTTAGCTATGAAGATATTGCTCAGCTAGGACAATTTTTAGTTCATGTACACTCATTCGTTCCCTACATGTAGCAAACCCACAGCCAAATTCTTCAAAGTTACTTTTTCGGGATGGTCCCTGCTTGCCTCTGTGGAGGGTTCAGGTGATCCCTTTCACTGAAACCTCAACAGGTAACTTTGAAGAAGCAGGAGAGCGAGCATCAACGGTCACAGTTCTTGCTTGATGGGCCACAACCATATTGTCAAGCTATGCTTCTACTGGCTGATACTTTTACAAGCGCCTTTGTCAGGATGTCAGAGTCAGGAATCGATAGCTTTCTCTTTTACAGCTGAGACTTCTGCTTAGTGATTTCATTTCCAACAAGAGGAAGCGCCCATAGCCCGGAAGGCAATTCACCCATGATCTGTTCTTGGTTCATCTGCATTGCCATGCTTTGCCTATGAAGCAGGCTCTCTTTGGAATCGTTCAAAGAGGATGTCTAGCACAGTGTGTGCTTTGCTTAAACACAAAGCAACCCCACCAACGGTGTTGAGGGATCCCCTCAGACTGCATGCATGACCCCGAGATGACCGGTGGGTTGGGGTGCACGACCCCTGAGGTCGTCAATGTTGAACTCTCGCCTTGAGGAACTACTCTCCCTGGAACTCACATGGAAGTGGAAAACACCCTGTTTGTAGAGGAACGTCTTCCAAGAGGCCATTGTCCATGTGAGTTCCAGGGAGTGTAGTTCAAAACAAACACGTTGGAATCATCACAGCCCACGTCCTCGGCCGATCGGTAGTGGTTCACCAAAGACCTCACCAGCGCGCGGACTCGCGCGGGCTCCGTTGTTGCGAACCCTACAGTAACTCAATCACAAATCAAGTCTTTTGCATGTCTTGGCGTGACAAAACACGTCTTGCAGGTAAAGGGAACATTGTTGTGGCCTTTAGTCTTGAGGGTTAAACACCAAATCTTAACGATTCGAACAACCAGAGTGGGTCCATCCAGGTTAACCACGAGAAGGGCCTGCAAAGCCACTTCTCTTTATCTTTAGACACTTAGAGGACTCACCCATACTCACCTGCCCTCCCACATCCAACATAGCTAGCTTCCCTTTCCCTTTCGCCCCATAACTCCTCTTGGACGGTTGCTGTGATCCCTCGCCTCGCCTGATGGGTTCCACGCCGAAGAAGCCGGCCAAGAAACGCACGATGCCTGGATTCGCACTTCTACGTGCTTAGCTTGTGGAAAAAAAACAACGCGTCGTTGGGTCTTGAAAGTGGATGTGGTTTTGGATTTGAATGGGTGGGTTTGGAGGGACTATTGGGGACTATACCTTCTGAATGATGCGGTGGAACCATAGCGATGCAGCAGGGGGCATGAACTGATGGTGCATGCATGACAGGTGTCTATCATTTAAGCTCCTCTGCCTGCGCTACATGACTTTTGTTTCAATGCAGGAATACCAGGGAACTCCTACAGTGACAGCGATTGATTATGGAAAAAAGATCTGATATTATTCCAGACTGCAAGATCAAGGCTTCAATTGATTGACTTCTCAGTTTTGGGGAAGACCAAGCTTAAAGCATGTGCCACCTGTTCGGTTTAATAGGCAACGGCAGGTGCTCCGGGCAGTTTTGGGTGTTTGAGGTGTTCTCCTAGCACTTCCATTGGGGGACACCACCATAACCGCACCTGCAGGACGTGTCGTTTGGTGACCTGGACATGGCCAAGATAAAGAGGACAAAACTCCTCCCCAAAGAACTTGTCGGTGCTTCGCTGCAAAAGAAGCAGACTGCGCAAACTGTGACGAACGAGATGGAAACAGCCCCAAACGCTCCATGGGACTGCCATATTTGCCGATCAGGCCAGGGGTGGTTGAAACGGGGTCAATGTAGGCATATATGGCAGTCCCATTAGTCGTGTCTGGGAGCAGGTCATGTCTCATGTGACTCTCGGGTCACGAGGATGGAGCACACCGGAGCCGGGAGGGAAAGAAACGCCTGGAGCCTGCGATCGAACTGGGGAGCTCTTCTTGTAGAATTGGAATGAGAGCAACACCGAACTGTTTATGGAACACCAAACTGGTTGGTGGTGTCAACTCACTTGAAAGATATTGGTCAGTAGATGTCAACATCACTCATTCAAGTAAAGATTGAACGCAAGCAATATCTGAAACCATCACCCAGAAAAAAAAAACAAACAACAACATATGGATTGCCTACTCTGCGCTATGTTCTACCTGACCTGGGCCGCTCTCAAGAAAAAACACTCGCCGCCGAGACACGTTCATAGGTGGGAGACTTCTGTAGCCTGGGACACCGTTCGGATTGGTCAAAGGGGTGCCTATTAGAGGATAGGGGTGCCCATGTTCCACTCACTTAAAGACTTAAGAACACCTAAAAACATCTCAATATATATATATATATATAAACATCCCTTTGTGACTCATCCATACTCATCCATATATTCAGTATATGAAAAACCCTATCAATACGAAACCCTCAAGGTCCGGAATGATTCTAAGTGCTAAGCAGCATACTCAGGGAACCCATTCCAACGATGATGTGGCAAAAGGCAAAAGGCATGCTGAGTCAATGTCCATCAGGCTCATGCTGGCGGGCTGCTTTTGCTCAAGAGTTTCAAGAACCCAAGCAGCACCCGAGGTTGAGCACTCAAAAACCGGGCTATGCTCAGGCACCTGAGGTTCTAAACCATTCCTTCTAGGGATCCTACACACCTTCAGGTGGTGGTGGATACATGTCGGCTCATCTATTGGGCATTCTTGGGCCAAGCACCTTCTGAGAAACTAGATGTGGATCCATTTTGTGGAGGGCGGCACTTCGACATACTTCGACCATCGAGGTCCTCACACCAGGCCCATCGAATATCGACCCATGAGTCGTGGTTTGGACACATCGCAGGCCCATCGACAGGATCGAGGTTTACATGAGGCCCATTTGGGGGGAAGAATGGGTGAGTTCTCCACATAGGCCACCAGTGAAAGCATCATAAGCAAGTCAGGATGTAGATACTGCCGGTTGAGCAGATCGTTCAAGAACCCTGATGGAGGAGACCTATTCGACAGTGCTCCCAAACGTAGGACGTCTGGACTGACAGACTGACACTACGGGACACAATGGAAGGTTAGTCGGATGATGTCGGATGTACATAGTGGCATATAGTGGCTATTAGTGCTTAGCTTTCTACCATTTGCGTCATGTGGAGTTTTTTTGAATCGACATCTCAGGTACAGGGGTGAACCCCAAAACATCCAAAAACATCATTGAAACCACCAAGCAGCCTACGGTCGGTGACCGGTGACCTTTCCGTGCGGTCCTGGAATCCCGGAGGCAGGGCTGGGCTCCTGGCTGACTTTCGGACCCCAAGGCTGCCGGCCTCAGTGCCATCATGTGCAGTCAAACACCCAATAGGAGGAGTCCTCCAAAGACTCCAACCACCTTCATCGTCCGTTGCATCTTTTGCCGTTGCTGTTGTGGTTGTGGTTGTTGTTGTGGTTGTTGTTGTTGTTGTTTTGCAATTCACTACTTATTCTACTTCTTCTTCTGTGTTTGCCTAACACATCTGAACATGCCAAGTTCCTTCCAATTGGAACCGCTTTCGCCCCGCCACGCCCGCCGGGCCCGCCGTCGCGGTCGCCCCGACGTCACGCCGAGTGACCGGTGCAATGCCAAGCCTCCGCTCATCCACGCGGGCCTGCGCACAACACCCCGGTGCAATGCAGTTCCGAAGAAGTCCACAAGAAATTGGAATCAAAAACACATGCACTTCTCTGAAAGCCCTGCTCCAATAAAAGGGAAAAGAGCTGATTTCCTGATTGAACGTACAATTGGAGGTGGTCATCATTGAAGTAGCATGTCACTGCTGATCTGAACTCGTTGTTCTGCCTCAAGATGCTTTGGATTGTTTTGAGTGTGTCTGCCTGCAGTGTCCATGACATGCATATATATATAATATACTTCTATACCAATCTAAGCAGCTATATAGAGAAAAACCTTCCTGGACAGCTTTCCAACTTTTGACCCACAATTTATGAGTCTCATCCTTCCAACATGTTTAAAAGCGATGTCCAAAACCGCGAAGGCTGGAGCAAATGTCTGGCTCTGCCAGTTTTTGGGACTCTTCCTGCCAGTCTTTCAACCCCCGCAACACTATACAACCTAGACTCTTGCTTCTATTTCACCCGCCCCAACTGGATTGGAGAACCTCTTCCTATGGGTGGGGGGCGTTCTACCAATCCGGAGTCGGCCAGATCGGTTCGACCGGTCCGTTTTGCCGGGTCGTCGCGCCTGTACTCGAGCTCGCTCACCAACGCCTCGGTCTCGGAAGGTGTGGCGGATGGGAACTTGGTGCACTGAGACTGGAGGCTGGAGGGTTGACCAACAAAAACCAACCTGAGTTGTTTGATCTTACTACATCTATCATCTATCTCATTCTATATCTATACATGTTTGTGTTGTTTTTTTCTCTGCGGTTGGTTGAAATGGACCAGGAAGATTCAGCAAAGAACGCTGGTAGAAGCCTTGACCTTGGAAGAACTTCATCTTGGAACTATTTGGAACAGCATCTACAAGTGCAATCCCTCAACTGTGGAGGATTTGGACGGGACTCTCCAGTTGGAGGATCGAACTGTCACAGTAGGATCCCACTGGCTCTCAATGAACGGACTTTGCTGGGACTCTCCACTCCAGTGGTCCAGCAAACAGTCTGGTAGTGATTTTCATCAACATTCTTGGTTCGATCTATATATAACATCTAAAAAGGTATATTAGATTATATTATTTAAACAACAACTTTTCCAGCAAGGTCTCCTCATGTCTCCTGTGTCTGCGGCGCAAAGCGGACAAAAGTGGACCGGTCACCACCGAGGACGGCGACACATCACACCGGTCATCACGGGCGTCGAGGCGAGGCGTGTCTCGCCTCATAGGTGGAGAAGTTCTCCAACTCCGAGGCCAAGGCCTCGAGCGTCCCGAGGTGAAGTGGAACGGAATGAACGGAGGAACGTCTGTCCGTCTCCCGGACAGTGTCCGGTCCCGTTTCCCTGAAACTGTCCTGTTAATGCTGAGAACGGTCCCAGTGCGGGAACCGATTCTGAACAAAATGACATGTTAAAGAATGTTAAAGGTTGTCCACTGACTGGGTAGGAAAAACGGGGAACAACGGTGAAAAAGGACTGGGCCCTGGGCGTGATTTGAAGGTTTTCGGTGACGTTTCCATCACTGAGCAAGCAAGGGTTGCCATGTCATTGGCAGTCAAAGAGAAATGGGATGCATGGAGAGCTCAGGTGCGACTTCCGCAGAGTGTAGATGGGATCCATTGGAATGCTCTTATATATGATGCGCACGTAGGATCAATCAACCCCCGGTTCCCCTTCAAGTTCGACAAGGTTTGAGATTGGAGGTAGAGACCACATCCCCCAACTTCAGGTGTTGACCTGATGATGGATGCTGGTTGATCGGATTCTTTGGGAACCATGAGAGTTTGAACCAAAAAAAACATGAGAGCTTAGCATATATCTTTAAAAAGAGAAGTAGTTACACCATGGCAGCTTAGATTGCAGCTTTAAACTTTAAACAATATACCATTCTAATGAACTAGTTATACGTTTTCTGGGGCCAAATGGGCTTGATTGATAGGGGGAGGTTTTTGGCAAGGACGATTTTGATTGCAGGGAGGATGAGGGAGGTCAATGTGGGAACTTTGGATTAGTTTAGTATTGGGGGCTCGAGATGGGCTTGATTAAGAAGAGGAGGGTTCTTAATCCTATGTGCTCATTATGTATTCGTCTGACATGGACGGCAAACAATGCAAACACGACTGCGCTTTGTTATCCGACCTCTGTTTCAAGCATATGTTTGCAATTTCTTGCGGGCGATCACTTCATAGACGTACATCTACTTAAACTATATAGTAAAAACACTGCATGAAGACTACTTTACTTAGGCAGCCAACAGGTGCATTATATACTTTATGGATAATCCACATTGAGGCTGAATAAACGTTCCACACAGGCCTGCAACTATTGGAACAAAAGCTCGCTTGCTATGGAGTTCAGAACCTAACTGGGAACAACAAAAGTAACAAAAGAGTACTTGTGGAATGTGGGTTTCTGAGGGCAGGGGCTCAGTATTGCATGAGCACTCCATTAGACCTCGATCTAATTATTGGTCTAATTGAGACAGTGTCGGTTCAAGCCACACTGGCACCAAACATGTCCTGCTTTCCAACGATTCAGTCTTGGCGTCCGAAGACAAAACACGCAACCCAAAGAATGGCCGTGATCGGCCGTGTTGGTGTTTGGACACCAGTGCTTCTTCGCTTCGGGCCGGCCTGGTCTTGTGCAAATCCGAAGCACCTGGGCCATGGTCTCCAAGCTAGTCTGCAGAGCCAGGAGACTGTGTCCGTACCGTGCTCCATGGCCCCACTCGGGTCCGGTGCTGCAAATGCTTCAAGGACTCAAGGACAGTCACAGCGGAAGGCAGTCTCACACAGTTGGCGGGGTTAATTTGTGCATGATTTCTGCGCAAGACTTCCGAAGTGGCCACCTGTAGACAGAAACACGCACTGACACCGAACACTCTGTTGGCTGTTGGCTTCAATCGTCCCACTGGCACAAGCACAGACATGGCGGGAGGGATGCACACAATCATGTGAATACCCCCATTCGGCCGTACTCACCGGACACCTCTGCTTCAGGAGAGCCGCCGGCAGTCCTATCTCATGTCAAAGAGCCAGCAAAAACCCTGCTGAGAAATGGGAGGAGATGCGATTTCGCAAGCGACTTCCCAAGCGACATCCCAGCCATGGCTGCGGGCAAGGCTGCTGTGTTCAAGCAGGCCCACTGCACACAGAATTGCACTCATTCAAGCAGGACATATATGCACATGTTCTTGCGACTGGAAGCAGCCTCACACAGTTGTCCAGTTGTCATTTTTCCGGTGCCGAGACATCCACCGCCAACGCTTTGTGCGTTCGTTCCATCAGCATCTATCCAGATTGCATCAGGAAATTGCGACAACCATCTAATGCACAAACCAAACACATACAGCTTTGACAGCTTTGAACAGGTTTCATGCAGATTAACTGATTGAACACAGAATGCATAGTCTGAGTCTGACTATTGCCATCTATTGCCATCTCCTCGGCAGGCAACCCGAGACGGCACCTGAATTGTGGGATCATCAGCTGGGGATGGCTCACAGCAAAAAGCTGAGCACCCTGTTCAATTGCATGTCAACGTCCTTCATCTCCATGTCCATCCATTTCCTACGAAACGACCCAAACCACGATCACATCGTGCTGAGCAGCATTGGCAAGCATCGATTTCGCCGGACGTTTGCAATCACTTCTATAGGTATCCTTTTTAGGTGAGCGCTTTCGACGGCGAGGATGCAGAGTTCTTTTCTGCATGTGCCACAGCAGGCTTCATGCATCAAAAGCCAAGTCATGAGAGCACACAATCCTATGACCATGCCAATCTGTCATGTCCTACGACTGTGGTGCTCCGTCCGCAATCACATGCTCCGTGGACCCGGTCCGGGAGGTAGATGACGAGGTAGATGACGAGGCCATGGTGGATGACTTCATGTCTGGGTACATCCATTGACCAAGACATGTATAGGTACATCCTATATACAGTACATCCTACATTGCTTCAACAGCAATGTAGTTTTGTTTTTGCCTGTGCCAGGGAGCGTCTGGGACAACCCTTCACGATCACTCTCCCGGATCAACATTTGAGACTCTAGATCCTCTCCTACAGAGGAGAAAACAACAACGGACAACAAATCGATCATAGACACCCCCAAATCACAACTACGAAGCTCTGCGGCTTCGTCTGAAGCAGGACTCAAATCTATGGAACGACGCACATGGATGGTGCGTTGGATGGAAGCCTTTCAATGCTCATACGTTGGTCCATGTCATCCATGGTCATTTAAACAATTAAAATGAACATCGACCAGTGACAGTGAGACTAGAAAAGGGTGCTCCGGGTGCGAGACCATGTTTTCAGGAACCAGTTTCAGTTTCGGTCGCAGCCTGGATCCCCCGGCCTTGTAGTAATGTGCGTTGCCATCCAGCACAGCCGAGAAGGTGGCCCCGCTGGCGCTCGCCAAGAGACTAAAGTCGCTCTTGCGGCCGTGTAGCCCGCGAAACCTCGAGGGGCGCTGAAGATGCTGAAGTCCCAAGTGCCGGAGTCTTCAGTACCCATCTCCATCCAACCAGAGCAGGCTGAAGTCTCAAGTCCCTTATGGTCCCTGATGGTGCAGGTAACCCCGGTGAAACCCCATCTCCATCCACCAAAGACTAAGTGGTCAATGACGGTACTGCATGCCACATCGGAAGATGAGGAAGCGATCATCCCCAGGACAAAGAATTAGCGCTCCCCTGCCTCTGCTATAGTTAGTTAGACCTACCACAAACATCCTCAAAAAATTGCCCGATCATCGAATCTCAGGATGTCTGTCTGAGCATGTCTGAGCCCGTGCAGCGCCCCGAGAGGCCAACACCCAACAGAGTTCCCGAACGCATGGGCCGCAGCCTCATTGCTGGATGGAGGGCCTAAAGGAAGCGACGTGGGCAAAAAAAACAAGGAGTGGAAGCGAGAGGTTCGTTGTGCTTGGTGAAATCTACAGTTGGTAGTGCTTGGTAGGCCTAAACCATGTGTGTGTGTGTGAAGTGAGTGGATCAATCTTGACATCACTCGATATTGGCTCACCAATTATGGATGCAAAACCCATGTGTGAACGTGTCCACAAGCCCAAACGCAAGATTCAACAATGTGCTTCCTGCGAGTTCCTCAGTCATGAACTCCTCAGTTATGCCACCCCATGGCTGTCCATGGCCCATTGCTTGATTCACAGGTCTCCAACACCTTCCAGCAAACCAACTCTTTTGCGCAGGCTGGGCGTCCCGATCTGCGGCGTTCCGCCGCAGATCTTCAGGCTTTGGCCGGCGGGGGCTCGTGCAAACGCAAAGAGTTCAGTTGCGATGAGTCTTCCTTTTTGGGGGGCCTGGAAAACTGCATCGCCGTTTTTGAAGCCTTTTTGGGAGTGAAACAGAAGACCACGCGAAGACAACACATGCTGATGGCGATCTTTCAGACACGAGGACGTGGAGGTTGTGGCTACAAAACTTAGCCAATCCGCAAAGGCACAACCGGTCACAACCTAACAAACTTTGGTCTTTTGGTCTTAGCTCCCAAGCAGTGTTCACACTATTTTATGGTACAGTACGACCATCGTGCATTGATTGAAATGTTCTGGACCTATTCACCCGAAATTCAGGTGGCTTGAAGTTCTGGGCCACCCTCCAAACCAACGAAATCCCCCAACTAAACCAGTTCGTGAAAAAAAGGAGCACCAACTAACCACCAACTAAACCAACTAACCACGAGTTCATTCATTGACCTGCCAGTCTGAGACCGATTGAGATCTGGCCTGGAGCATCTCCGACCGCCCCACCGGATGACGGCAGCTGCACGCCCGATGGATCCGTGATGCGGGACGGAGCAGGTGGAGCACGTTCGACGCAGAACGACGATCACAGAATCGCTGGCTCAAACAATTATACTCCAACGAATGATGCTAACGGATAATGCTGGTTCAACCAATTTCAGCCCATGATGTGTTGATATGCTCTTAATGCCAAAAGCAAGCACTGTTTTCAGTCTCAAAGATTGAAACCACAAAACGGACGCGAGTTACAGCTCCCCGCCTTCCCCCTCGGATCCAACGACGGGGGGGGGGTTGATCAGCCCATGGATGGCGACAAACAAATGGGACCGAAATCGGTTGTTTTGGTGTAGTTTTTTGATTATGGAATGTGTTGAAAGTTGAACACATGGGAATGTGTTGTGTTTTCACTTGAGTCCTCTTCCACATGTGTTCCGCTAGTTTCTATGTTTGTAAAGAGAGGAGTCACGCATCTAGATGTATGAAGCCTGTCCAAATGTGTGTAAAACGTATCACGTCGACATAATATTGCTGCCTGGTTACCTCTTTAGAACAACGATAGTTTGTTTGACAGCTTTCAGCATCATATACTATATATTAGTAGAAGAGAGTAAAATATATAGTATATTTTAAAATCATATATATATATATGTGTGTTTGAAGGAGGTAGACATTGATGATCAACCTTTGCCTTGGGCCATCAACCCCCACAAAGGAAATTCTCTTCGAACGCGATGCAGTAGACTTCGAATTTCCTCAACCTGGTGTGAGTTCCCAAATGTAGCAGATCTCTTCGTCCAAGAGTCCAATCGTCAGCTTCAAGTCATTGTCACAAACATTTGACTTTAAATGAATCATTGATTTCACATTCAAGTCATCTGTGGCAATCTCACTGGTTTGTCAACTCTGGAAGGTTATAGCCTGCCCATCCATAGTCCCCACTGTTTGATGGAACTGAAATTCAGTCAACATGCTTGGAATCTTGTGGCATGCTGTCCTTCTTGGGACCCGTGAAATTTACACTCCGGCTAAGTTAGAAACTGATATCATGTTTTGTATAGGAACACATGAACACACTCGGACGAAAATCAGGTCTGATCAGGTAGCCTGAACTCAGGCTGTGAAAGGAAGGAAACGTTCAACCTGTCAAACGATCCAAACATTGATGGTTCTAAAAAAATATGGTTTCACCTTCTTCAGCTCCAACATGCCACCGAACACTTCTCTTGGGCATCTCTTGGGGGTTTCTGAAAGCCCACCAAACCCCAGACCAAAACGATCCGGTTGACCATGTCTGGTAGTCTCTTCAGAGTCTCGTCCGTTCACTGTCAGTGGGAACAAACCAAGTATCCCCTGGTGCCATGACTCACAATCATGAAATCACCATGGGATTGAAAATTCGCCAATGCACCAGCGAAAGTGGGATTGCCATGACTCGCCACTGTTCACTTTCAGTGTTGGGATTTTTTTCGCCCATCCCACGAAATCACCCTAATGTGGCCGTGTCGTCCATCGCACCGCAAAATGAGACTGGACAATGAGTGGACTGCGGAAGCTGTCGATTGGACCACTTGGATTTCAACTTTGGCGCTCAATTTCTGGCTGCGTCTGTACCATGCAGCAGTTCTTTAGGGGTCCGTCCCTCCTGGCTTGTAGCCATGTGAAGAAATAAATACAGCACACTCCGGCATCCATTTGTGCCACTTCTGCACTTTCGATAAGTGTAAAGAAGAGGCACTTCAAGACATCGTCCAAAGGAAGTCCGTCCAAACATGTCCGATTATCTTTTTGAAAGCACAAGAAATAGACATCGTCACGAGGGGAGCTTTGGTTATAACGAGACACCCCTCTCAGGCGTTCTTTTGATGATCTGCACCGGCCGCTAGGCGTCGACGAATCGGATGCACGGATCAAGACATACCCAACGACTTCCTCCCTATATCTCAAACAATCCGTCTATTGGACTATTTGCCTATATCAGGGCGGTTTCAAGATGTTTTGTCGGGCCAATGTTGGCAATCAGTTGATTGTTGGAGTATGGGTCGGGTCCCAACGACCCAACCACGCGTTTTCATCCGATCCTCCGTCCGATGCGTCCACGCTGCCGAATGCGTCATCGGCAGAAGCACCGTATTCATCACTGCCCCCTTTGGAGGTCTCCAAGTTGTTCAATCTTCCCATCTCGGGACCTGCGGGAGTCGACCGAAACAGCAAGCAATGGACAAGTAATGACAAATATATCAAGAGATGATGGAGATGCCTACATTATATATATATATACATATAAGCATTGGGCAAAGCAAAGCGCTTATTTCTCCGCTAACAAAGGTGGTTGTGTTCCAACAGAGGTTAAGTGACCTTATAGCACCCTACTGGGGTACCATGGGGTACCTATAGGATAGTCTATAGGGTTCTTCACACGCATTGTACATGTTCTATACATACTATGGCCTGTTGCTGCACTTTCATGACACCTCCCATGTATCCGATGCTTTGAGCTCCGGGTACACAATCAAAATCCAAGGGTATGTGTACTATGCAGTAGGCTTCGACTTGATGCCGCGAGGCCGAAGACGGACTCTGTACTGACCAACACTAGCGAAACTAAGCGGACTTTACAAATAAATGTGCGTGAGTAGACCTATTGGCTGTCCCAATGAATTGTAAAAGGATAGTTGAATTAGCCAGGCTCAGAGAACTCTCGGTAGATCTTCGTCATGAGATAGTCCGAGTTGCATCGTGACGTCCACAACTAAAGAAGTTCTCATCATGATGTGGATACTCTTACAACTGACAGAGGTTCATACTTGGTGAGTTGAACTTGTCTCAACGTCCGGTATCCTCTTCATTCTCCTCTTCTTCTTCTTCTTCTCAATTGTAGTCGTTCCAAAACATGGCAGCGCGTCTTCGATCTCAACTCTCTCAATGCTCCTCTTTGGTGATTTGTCAATATTCGTTCTTGGTGATGTCGATCTCGTGAATCTTCTCAATGATTTCTTCGCGTTGCCAATTCTTGCATCGGATCTGGTAGCAATCGACTCCGGTGGAGCGACCCTACCTTCACCTGAAACTTGTGATCCTGTCGACATAGTCATTACTGTAGCGTCTGCTGAACTTGCACCAGCCAATGATCCTGGCGATGATTGAGACGCAGGTCCTCCAGGTGCAGCGCTGCACTTCCATATGTGTATATATATACACAAGTACATATGCACATTCAGAGATTGGTATTGCCCTTCTGTGATCAGTGACATGTGTTCAAAGCTTCACCGGTAGTAGCTATGACAGGTACTACATCCATGAGACCTTTTTGTTGACCTCAGTTCAGCTGTGGAACCACTTAAAGAATCGAGCTGTCCTTGTAGATTACCTCGGGATCAAGCTGTTTAGGGCCTGAAGACGAAGAGCAAACCAGCGGGAACCAAACACAGAAAACACGATTTTCCTCTACGGACCAGTGGGAACTTAAGGGCACACAAAATGACTTTTATACATATATATATATTGCGAGCTGTTTTGAACCTCAAAGGCCTCAGTACGAAGACCTGTACATGTATGGCAACGGAGTAGCTTGTTTTGCACACTCCTCCTTGGCGCTGTGAGCTAAGCTCTTTTCCGTGCTTGCTGCGCCACCCACATCTTAAAAAGGAACTGTCTCGCTGTCCATGAACTCCATGTGCCTTCCCATTCGTGAGTACATCTCCATTTTGGATTCATGTTCGTTCCTTTGGTTGAGCTCGAACCATCGCTTCTCGAACTGTAGGGAATACTGCTTGGCTCTCAAGCAAGACCTGAAGGCTGGCTTGTCATACTCACTCACTTCATGCAGTTCTGCATCTGTGAGCCACCTTGTTGTTGGTGCTGACATAGTCAAATCCTCAAACTCCAGGTCTCTGCTGCCACGCGCTTCCCCTGTTCGATCTGGTACCCTTTCTGGCTCTGTCTCCATAGGCACCGTTTCCTCATTCTCACTTTCTGGTTCGCGAGGTTCAAGGTCACCTGCTCTCACTGTCACCACTTGTCCAGATTCTAATCTGACTTGTACCATATCATCTGGATCGTGTTCTCCTTCTTCGCTCTCTTCACTTCCACCGGTGTTGTCTCTCAAGGTATTGTCTCGAATGTTCAGGTGTCGACGTGTCTGTTCAACATTTCTCTGGAGGTAGTCCTTGATCTGCTTGTCAAGTCTTCTCATGTCAAACTCCTTGTTGGTGTCCTGGAGGTAGTCCCAATGCCTCCAGTCTTC